TCTACCTACCTATGAGCAAGTGATATTTTCCCAATTATTTAGATCTGACTTTATTTGTGTGAAAAGTGTTTTATAATTATGTTCATATAGTTCCTGGGTTTGTCTTGGCGGGTAGACTCCCAAATATTTTATGTTATCTATAGTCGCTTTAAATGTAATTTCCTTTTTTCTCTCTTGCTGCAGGGTTTTATTGGTAACATATAGAAATGCTGATGATTTATATGGGTTTATTTTCTATCCTATAACTTTGCTAAAATTGTTAATTATCCTAAGTAGTTTTTTTAGTTTATTCTCTTGGATTCTCTAAGTATACCATTGTATCATCTGCAAAGAGTGATAAATTTGTTTCTTCATTGCCTATTCTAATTCCTTTAATTTCTTTTTCTTCTCTTACTGCTAAAGCTAACATTTTTAGTACAATATTGAATACCAGTGGTGATAATGAACATACTTGTTCCATCCTTAATCTTATTGGAAATCCTTCTAGCTTATCCCCATTACGTGTAATGCTGGCTGATAGTTTTAGATAGATGTTACTTATCATTTTAAGGAAACCTACATTTATTCTTATGCCCTCTACTGTTTTTAATAGGAAGGAGTGTTGTATTTTGTCAAAAGCTTTTTCTGCATCTATTGAGATAATCATGTGATTTCTGTTAATTTTGTTATTGATATTGTCAATTATGCTGATAGTTTTCCTAGTAGTGAACCAGATCTGCCTTCCTGGTCTAAATCCTACCTAGGCATAGTGTTATCCTCAAGATAAGTTGCTGTAATCTCTTTGCTAATATTTAATTTAAAAATTTTGCATCTATATTCATTAGGGTAATTAGTCTATAATTTTCTTTCTCTAATTTGGCTCTTCCCAGTTTGGTTATCAGCACCATAAAAAATAATTTTGTAGGACTCCTTCAGTACACCCATTTTCAAAGCACTAATAAGCCTGAGAAGTTTTTGCAGAGAGTTATAACTTTTGTTTTCATGGCTAGACAAGTAAATATTAACCTTCATTTTTCATTTATTTTGATGAAGCCTTCATCCAGGGCAGACATAACCAATCTCTAAGATTTCCCCTCCCACCCCACCCCCAGTTGCCTGGGGACACACAACATGATATTGACAACATGGCATGGATGTCAATATCATGGGTATTATTCTTCAGAATATTTTCAAAAACTAAGAACCCTTTTTTTCCCTTATATCTCCAGTGCTTAGCACTGTGTCTAGCATTAATTGCTTAATAATTGTTTATTGCATAACTCTTTGTCATTTGTCATTGTTCGTTTTCACTTTCAATTCACTCACTTTACTTCATAATCAAGAAGGGAATAATAAACACCTGTTCTGTCATAGGGTGTTTGTGTGGTGGGACATTAATAACTTATGTGAATACAGATACCATCAATGATTTTGTCAGGTTGGTGAATTCCCTCCAACAACACAAAACACAACTTATTTACATCTTAGTAGATAAATCTTGGGTCATAGTTCAAGATGCAGAGAGGTTAAGTGATTTGTTCAGGATCACACAGTTAATTGTGTGTGTCTGTGTGTGTGTGTACACATGCGTGTGCGCGTGCATGTGCAGTCTGAACTCAATTCTTCCTAATTTCAAGCCTGTCACTTTAGCCACTACACGCTGCTGCTCCTATATGCATTAGCTTTTTTTTTTTGCAAAAGAGTAATGTTGTAAACACTTTGGAGTGTTTAGGAGTTGTTGCTTCATTTGAAAGTGTCTGGTTAGATGCAGAAATGACAGAAAACAAAAGACATCAATAAAACTTAAAAAATAATTTATTCATTGATGCTGAGCATGTATGGTTCAAGCAGCAGATGCTACTAATGTACTTCCTGTTTCAGGAACCCCATGAACACAAAATTCTCCTATCTAATTCTGATATAGAAGACATTTGGTTCTATGATCATTGTACTTCAAACTTGAGGCAGTTATCTCAAAAATGAGGCCTTTTTCACCAAACCTATTACCACTATTAGAAAAGTATCTCGGGGCAGCTAGGTGATGCAGTGAATAGAGTACCAGCCCTGGAGTCAGGAGGACCTGAGTTCATATCTGGCCTCAGACCAAAGACATGACACTTACTAGCTGTATGACCCTGAGCAAGACACTTAACCCCAGTTGCCTAAAGAAAAAAAAAAAGAAAAGCATCTCAAAATTCATTAAATATGCCAGAGACAACACATTCATATATGAAAGGCAGTAAGATATTATCAAAATAATTTCTTTTGTCTAACTCAACATGCCCCTTATTATCTACCTGTAAATGTTTTTTTTTTTTTAAATATAAAATTTCAATCTTATGTGGCTACATTTAATCATTCTAAGTAGGTGGGTGGTGCTATGGATTGAGTGCCAGCCTTGGAGTCAAGAAGATCTAAGTTGGAATACTGACTCATATGCTATTTAGCATATGACCATTGACAAATCACCCAATTTTATTTCTTGAATTCTTTACTGAACCTCTCAGTTTCATCACTTTTAAAATGAGGATAATAGCACCTAATTCACAGGCTGCCCCCGCAAGATCATGAGAGATAACATATGTAAAGTACTTTGCAAATCTGAAAATTCTATGTAAGTATATATATGTAACTATAATAATAGTAATAAAAATAATAAACAGTAGCTAACATTTATATAGTGTTTACTATGTGCCAGGCACTATGTTGTGTTTTACGCATATTATATCATTTTATTTTCACAAAAACCTTGGGAGAGAGGTGCTATTCATATCTTCATTTTATATATGAGTAAACTGAGGTTAACAGAGGTTAAATGACCAAACCAAGGTCACATGCCTAGTAAGTATCTGTGATTTGAAATCTGGTCTTCCTGACTTTAGGCCTGACATGCTATTGATTGTGCCACCTAGCTGCTTTATTATTCTGGGCCTCATATTTGGGAACTTTTCCTACCAGACACTAATTTCTACTTTTCCTTTTGAAGACATCACAAAGTAGTTAAAAAAGTTTGTGAATTATTTTACATTGTGTTTAGATCCGTATATTTTATGGATGAAAGCAGTGATATCATTAGTTGATGGGAAAGGTCTTTTTTTTCAAAATTTTTTTATTAATTTATTTATTTTTAGTTTTCAACATTTACCTCCACAAAGTTTTGAGTGCCAAATTTTCTTCCCATCTCATCCCTCCCCTCACCCCAAGATGATCCCACCCCTTACTCCTTCCCCTAATCTGCCTTTTATTTCCCTTCTATCTCCCCCCCCTTCTCTTATCCTCTTCCCCTTCAATTTTCCTGTAGAGCAGTATAGATTTATATACCCCATTTCCTGTATATCTTATTTCCCAGTTGCATGTGAAAATAATTTTTTTAACATTTGTTTTTAAAACTTTGGGTTCCAAATTTTCTCCCTTCCTCGGGAAAGGTCTTCATGGTGTGTCAGGGTAAGATAGAGAACATTTTTAATTAACAAAAGATTTGGCAGTCATCTTTTTCATATTTATTTTGATATCTTCCTTTATGTGTAAATTCTAGTGCTTCATTGGAAGGAATATAATAAAAATTAACCCTCTTTCTGTGGAACATAAATTTAGTTGATAAGCAAAGGTGATTCATCTAGTCAAAAAGAATATCTCGATTTTTTCCCCCTCTTTGTAATTGTCTGATTAAATAACAATTTGGAAAAATGTGAAGATCAAGAACAAAATGCTGAAATTTTCTTAAGCAACAAGATTCAAGGAAAAGTAAAAGTGCCTAGTTTTAATTTTATGAGTAGGAAGAAAGGCAGCACTTAGTGCAAATAGGGAAAATCACTTTCCCTCATTCTGCCTGAGTTATAGGATGAGGGGATTGGAGTAAATGATCTCTGATATTCTTTCCAGTTCTAAATCTATGATCCTATAAATTCAGCCATCCCAGGCTTGTTAGAGGACAAGACATTGAGTTTCTCAAAAATGGATACTTCATATGGGAAGTTATATCAGTAGGAAGATATAGGTGTTTGTAGAAAACTGAGGATGGCCAAGGGTGTTGATGAAAAGTAAAGGAAATGCTTATTACTATTGCTTAGACTGGAGCTTCCCAATAATTCCATCACGTTCAACAAGTTGACTTAAAAGGCTTACATGGATTGGTATATAAAGCAGCTGCCAACTACCTTCCCTCTTCCTCCAAATTTGTAGGGGTGGTGAAATGGGAATGAGTGCTGGATTTGGAGCCAGAGAACCTGGCCCCAAGTTCCAGTTCTGCTATTTGTCACATTTGTGACCTTAATAACTATTTAACCTATCTGCCCTGTTTCCCCATTTGCAAAATGAGGAGGTTGGAATACATAACTTCCAAATTACCTTTCAAATCTGCAACCCCGAAATTGTGGGTTCCCATAGAGAGTGTAAATTTGATAACTTGAACTGTCAGCACTTCCCTTGACAGTCTTCTATATTCACCCTGCTCATCAATTCCTCTCCACATTCTTCAATATGGCAATCATAGGACTTAAGTGAAATTTAAAAAAAATCAAAACAACACACTTCCTTCATGAGGAAAAGCTCAGGGATCTATGCCTTAGACTTAAAAAATAAAGTGCATGACCAATTCAACACCGAGTATGTCTTACATTGTATGAAATGGAAACCTCCAAGATGAAGATCTATTCTTAAAATGTCCACATGTACATTATTTTAATGAATCTGATATTGAAATTATAGTTAAGCAGAGTGATGCGTTGGACATAGCCATTGTTCCCAAAGGTAAAGATGACTTAACGACATCAGTGAATAGAGCACATCTATTTTATAATTTAATATGTGTACTGTTTCAATTAACCATTAACAGAAAGAAAAAGTAAAACAAGAAATGACACTCTTATTTTTTTAATGACTTAAAATCTGCACAATCATCTATTAAGAAAAACTCATGACTGTTACAATACTTGAGAGATCTTGGATTAAGTGGACTACTCAAATTTCAGGAAGAATAGAATTCACCATGTTTACATAAGAATAAGAAGCCACATGACATGTTTTAGATATAAGTGTCTTTTAATGCTGCTAATGTAAATAATCAGGGAAAATGGCAATTGTAATATCTTTCACTTTTTAGGTTATTCATTGATTATATGGAGCATCATCTCCTGTGTCATTCTTATGAGTTCTTCTCAGAAATCTTGACTGTGACAGTCTTGACTTCGATGTATTCATGGAGACCATACTCTCCCCTGGAGGGGAGAAAAAAATTCAAAATTGCATTTGAGATACTGTTATCCATTACAATATAGTCAATGTCTAAGTAAGAATTCGGCTTTTTTTCATTAGGGCAGATATAAGACAGGGTAGGGTAGTGACTAGAAGGAAAGTCTTGGAATCAAGAAGGCCAAGTTTCAAATCCTTCCTCTGACTCATGCTAGCTCTGTGACCATGGGTAAGTCACTGAGTGTCTAAGGTCCTCAAATATCCAGGAATATACATTAAAGATGAGTTGTTGATCTATATCAGTAGGAGATATTTCTACATGGGTAATTTCCCATGTTCACAAAATCCCATTTATGGACCATTCACAAAAACTTTAGGATTAATGCCCTCAGAAACATTTTATCTTCTCAGAAACATCAAGAATAGAAGCAATGACTATTAGAGGCATTTTATGTATTAATGACTTTCTCCTATAAAATCATATAAAAACTTAGGGCTCTTTTGGATGCCCAGCTATATTGTTTTAGAAATTGGTAGTTTTAAAACTGGTGTTCTTATTATAGTTAAGTAATACGTGGATTACTTCATCAGACACAGGACTGATATCCTAGAAATATTTCCAAAGCCAATAGCAGGGGAATATCTAACTATGCAAGTAACTTGCAATGGAGGCAGGGTAAAGAGTGGAGTGAGACAGCAACACCGTACAGAAGACAATTGGAAGTGATAGGGCACAGTATGTAGAGAGGACAATTAAACTATGTACAGTTTCAATGGATAAAGGGGTGGCCTACCCCTCTGTCATTCTGCTAAGAGCTGTGACCCTGTTTCGTCTCTTAGAGCCCCTATTATACCTCCAAACTCCTGAAGAAATGCAGGTTGGTAGCCAGTGAGGCAGAGTGTATAGGAACATTTATAACATGAGGAGAGTAAATATTCCTTTCTTTTCAGATTACCACCTGATGCAAAGTCCTTACCACCCTTCCCTAGTTATGTTTCTAGGTGAGTGGGATTTTGAAACACAAGTGAGTAGTGTACATATATTTTCTAGGTGACCACTGAACAGGAGGAACCTGAATCTTCATGGTATTCAAGAATCTTTTAGAGTGACTATTAAAATATTATTGGGGGCAGCTAGATGGCACAGTGGATAGAACAGTGGCCCTGGAGTCAGGAGGACCTGAGTTCAAATCTGACCACAGACACTTGACCCTTACTAGCTGTGTGACTCGAGGCAAGTCATTTAACCCCGTTGTTTAGCCAAAAAAAAATTTATTGAATTAGCATGAGATTAAAGGTGATCATTCAATAGAAAGATTTACCATTGAGAATTCTAATACTCTTTCAAATAAACACCACAAAATAGATACAGCAAAACAAGAAGAAAACAGTACTTCTAAATAAACAAATCCTATAAAAATACCACAGAGGAATTAAACATTCAGGTATTTATTACCAGCCAACTATATTCCATAGTATGTTTATTTTGTTGGCTGAGATGAAATGGAAAGACCTTTGCTTAAAACTGAGAAGCTAACATAGCTCCTATGTATTTTAAAAATGAAAAAATTAGTACATTTTTCTTATAATGATGAATTTATAAAGAAAAATAAGTTGTATAATTCTTTAAATGAGTATGAATATGGTTCTATTTTGATTTTTATCTTTTGTCCAGAAACAATTCATATCTCTACAAATGTAAGGATGTGTCTTATCTATTTGAATGTTCTTTTTCATATTAATCTGAATCTAAGATTCAATGAGTTATTTGGGTTTATAGGTTCCTAAGAAAGAGGAGGGAGGCCACGTGACAAAAAAGAGACTGAATTTATTCTTGAGCACACAGGAAACATCATCTAGTATCATGAAGACAAATCTTAAATAGCACATATTGTAGAAATACCACATAAAATGCCAAAAGGCTTTACGTACATTTCTCGCCCATTTCCAGACATCTTGAATCCACCAAAAGGGGCCTGAAGAGAAGGCACACCATAGCAATTCACCCTTCAAAGACAAGAGTATCTTCTATTAACATTCCATTTTATTTAATTCAGAATTGTTTAGTGCCTACTATGAATGAGATTCTTTTGTTTTTGTTTTTTTTGAAGGGAAAGCAAGAAAAGAAGTAGAATAAGCATTAATTAAGGGCATATTATGTGTCAGGCACTGTGCTAAGTGCTTTACAAATATTATCTCCTTTAACTTCTAGATCAGATCTGTAATTTCATTTCGATACAGAACTCCCAGTGAAAAATGTTTCTCTACCAAAGCAGACCTACATCTGCTCTGCAGCTTACAGTCCTAAATTGTTCCAGGACATTTAATGGTCAAATGACCTGTCCAGAGCTATGGCCAGTATCTGTCAGATGCAGGCCTTGAATCAAGGCCTTCAAGATTTTGAGGCCATCTCTTTACCTAATAGAACAAATTACCTCTCTGCAAGGTTTATTGTAGGTAATTAATGCAAAATTTTCTAGGTTTAGATGAACTAAAAAGGTGAAAATATTTAACTCTTTAGCTATTAACTCTAAGGTAATTTATATATTTATTTCAATAATTCCATGGCATTGTCATCTCATAAATGTGGGTACTCCCCTCTATTGGAGAACAGGCCCATCCACTTGTTTTGGAGTCTGTGTGACACTCAAAAAGCCAAAAGAATTTATATTTTTATTATATTTTAATGGATTGCAGCATAAGAGAATCTTGTACTATTTATGAGATATGTTGTGAATACTTAATATTAACTGATGTTATTAGTATAACAAATTAAAGGAGGTAGTTACCCCTACTTAATATTTCCACCTCTCATATGGGTATATCAACACCTACTTACTCTGTGGACTATCTCACCCACTTCAACCTGCTCTCTCAGTGAAGGGCCTAAAGTTCCCATTGAAATGGACTTCCTCAATGTGATTACATTAAAATTCTTTTGACGTTCTAGGATTAAGCATGTTTTGGGGGATATACACTTGGTATATTTACCATTTTATCTCTTGAGCCCCCACTGTTGCATTTTCATTTATGTAAACAAGCCATTCATAATGATGACACTTTCAAGTCTTAAATAAAATCATTTATATAACAGTAAAGCAAAAAAAAAAAAGAAAGATAACAACAACATTTCAGGTATTGATATATTAAAACAAGTTCTTGAACAATGAAAAGTATTACAGCCTATAAATAATAATAATAATTACTAAGATTTATATAACACTCACTATGTGCCAGCACTTTATAATTATTATGTCATTTGATCAAACAGCTTCATAAGGAAGGTGCTATTATCTTTCCCATTTCATAGATGAGGAAATGGTGGCAAATAGAGGTTAAGTGACTTGCCAAGGATCACACAGCTAACAAATGTATGAGGCCACATTTAAATTGAGGTCTTTCTGATTCCAGGCTCAGTGTCTTGTCCACTGAACTTCTTAGGTCATAATCTTTCACCATAGCACTTAGTATCTGTGGGGGAGAGTAGGCATACACTTAGAAAAACCTGTCAAGAGAGCGTAGGAATCAGCAAAACCCATGTTCTTTAGGTAACTTGTAATTCTGACCCTGTATTTTCTTTTTGTTTCAGGAACCACAGATAAAAGTTCTTAGAACATAGCATGTTTTTAAAGGCAAAGACAGAAGTGATTTTTAAATACTTAGAAATCCCTACAGAACAGATAACGGAACCACTGGAAAATTCTCAAGGTGAGAAAAATTTTTTGGTTGCAGGAAATTCTTTAGGATAGTGCTTCTCAGACTGGAAGTTGAAACTTTCGCTAAGAAGGAAGTCTATTTGGACTGCTTATGCCAGTGCATAACACACACACATTATACATATGTGTGTGCATTAATATATTATTATATATAATTAATATAATAAAATATATAATAATTATATTAATTAATATGTAATTAGCTCCAGCTATGATGGAGAATGTAGGTGGGAAAAGCATCAAGGTATTAGTTTGGATTAAGAAGGAGTAACTAGATGAATGATCCTTTGCCATAGCCTACGGTAAGGCCAAAAATGACTAGAAGGTAGGTACTACAAAATTGCAATGTGACCCCAAAGGCTGATACAGCAGCTAATCTGAGAACAGGCAATTCCTATAAGAAACAGGACAATGAGGTTAGTCACAGAAAGCTGCCATATCCCCCTGAAGTGAGGATGAAGGAAAACAACTGAGTCAGGGGACTTGGGTTCATGTCCCAGTTCTGTTCCTTATTGTGTGATTTCAACATGTCACTCAACTTCTTTGAGACTCAAGTTTCTCATCTATCATATTCAGGAGGTTGGACTAAATGAATCCCAAATTTCCTTTCAACTCTGAATAACATGTCCCTAAATATAACCAAGAAGATAGGGTTCAGTTCTTGACTCTCAACCATGCAGGTTGTGTGACCCTGGGCAAGTCACTAACCTCTCAGTGCCACTGGCAGCTCTTGAAAATACCTCTAAGACAACTCTCCAAGCTTCAGGGCAGGTGCTAATATGCATTGGCAGTGGGGTTTTCCTCGTGGCAGATCTCTGTACTAATGACATTATAGGTCTAGACCCCAAATAAAAATATGTAATCTTAACATATAACACTGTGTCTTCTACATCAATTAGTACAGTGTTGAGCATGTAATAGACACTAACAAATTTTTATTGATTAATTAATTTTTCCCTGTTGTATTGGACCTGTAATTTCACTGGTAGAGTTTTCACTCTGAGTTGGAAATCCTTTCCATTGATGGAGCAAGACAACTTATGCTTTAACATAATCCTGTAACACAAGAGGTTAAATGACTTGCCACACAGCTAGTGTTTGTCAGAGGAAGGCCTTGAACATCAGTCTTCCTGATTCCAAAGCTGGTTCTCACTGGATGTGTGACCTTGACTAAGTTACATAAATGCCTCCATTTCCTCATCTTTAAAATGTAGACAATTCTATCACCGACCTCCCAGGATTGCTCTCAGAATAAAATGAGATAAGATTTGTAAAGTGCTTTGCAATCTTTAAAGTTCTACATAAAATCTACCTATTATTATAATAGTTTTATTTTATATTATCATATAATAGTATTTATTGTAGTATTTATAGTAATAATGTTACATATTTTGTACAAATTATTTTATATACTTTTCATATATTATATTTTATTTATAAACAATATTTAAATTATATAATGTATGTTTTATATATTAGGGAATATTTTATTTATTTTTATAAATATTTATATATGTTATTTACAATATGTTTACATTGTTATAGATTATTAAAATTTGTTTGTCTTAGTAGTAGTAGTAACTATTTTTACTAACACCACAATACTCTCAATTACTTGATTTTAAACAACAAATTTCATTAAATTATTTTCAAGAAACAAACCATAGAGGATAGACAGACCTCAATTAAATTACCCTATTGCTCATCTACAAAATTATCAGTAGCTTAGAACACAAGCAGAAAAAATCTACATCTCAGTGGTCTGCCTGGTTTGAAAGAAAAGCATGTTGCTTTTCAAATGTCCAAGTTTTTCTCTTAAGGTGATTTGAGATGTGATTGAATCTCGTAAAAAAAAAAAAAAACTACCTCACTAAGTTTTGACTTACCAGACTGTTCCTGCTTGAAGGGCGGAGGAAATGGTCAAGGCTTTATCAAGGTCTTTGGTGAAAACACCTGCTGCTAAGCCATAGTGGGTGTTGTTGGCCCTTTTGATCACTTCGTCGATAGTTTTAAACTTCATGATTTGTTGAACTGGTCCAAAAATCTGCGCCATAGAAAGAAGGAGAGGAAGAAATAAGTGGAGGGAATGAAAGAGAAAGTCAAGGGGAAAGCATATAAATATGAATCAGATAAAGTTGACTGCTCTTTCTGTTGTGCGGACAGTTTGTTCTTGGTTTTTCTTTTGTTTCTGTTTTTGGTTTGTTTTGGTTTGGGACGTGAATTGAAGCATGATAAGTTTGTTATAAGTGGAAGTTTTCCTAAAATGACATATGAAATCATTGGTAAATTGGTAAATTAGTTCCCACATTTATGTATTAGAATGATATCAATGGCAAGTAATTTTTGTGAAATGGACTGTAAGCTCCTCAAGATCAGAGATTGGTTTTAGATTTGTTTTTTGTTCCCAGTGACAAGTATAGTACCTTACACTTAGTAGTCATTTAATAAATGTTTGTTGAATGATTGTCCCTAATAGGAAAGAAGTCAGGAGGCACCATGGTATGGTGGAGAGAATGCAGAATCAGAATCAGAGGACATGGATTCTCATGTTGGCTCTGCTACCTACTACCTGTTTGATATTGCTCAAATCACTTTGCCTTTTTTCAGTCTCAGTTAATTATCTTTAAAATTAGGGGATTAGAACAGATGACCTCCAAGGCCCCTACAAAGCTTTAGAGCTATGATTCTATACCTCAGATAAATGATATTTATGTGAGAAATCAAATTTAAGGTGAAGGCTTTTTTTAATCTTCCATTCCTACTCTTAACTTTTGATGAAAACTGCACAAATATAGGGCATCCCAAAAGTCTTGAGGGTGGTTTTAAGTTGCTTTCAAAGGTTAAATCTGCACTAAGACTTTGGGGATACCCTATAGCAAGAACAAACCCCAGAAGTCAACACTGACCTTCTGAAAGGAGGCATTCATCAGGGTGTGAATTATTTTGATAAACATTCTGTCAGAGTGAGCATGTTTTATGATCTGGTCACTAGCCCATAACAGTATCCACAGCCAGGAGTCTTTCTACTAATTTGGAACCTAAGATAGAGGAAACAACTTGGGTAAAACCAAGGAGTGACTTGAGTGTTCAGTACTCAGCTCCACACCTTCATCTCCTATGGCCCACGAGTGAATGCATGATCCAGTCAGTAAGAATTATGTCTTTTGTTTATGATCAAACTGACTGTGGAAAATCACATCATCTCTCTGGGCCTCTATTATCTTCATCCTAAAATTAGATAATGTGACTAGATAATATTTAAGGTGGTTTCTATCTCTTAATCCCGTTATTACTATGATCCTAACCTAGCCAGGGGTATTGCCCCTACCTAGTACTTGTGAATTTGGAGTTGGAGATGGGAGCAGAAAAGTCATAAATTTAAATAGATTGAATTTTTTATTTAAATGCAGATATCACATTAAGTTATAGGAGCAAATGCAACCAGTAAATGTTAATAGTTCAAAAATACTTCAGGACTTCCAAATGGTTGCAGAAATTACTGAAGGCTTGCCTCTTAGAACTAAAAAGTTGTTTGTTCTGGCAATGGACAGAATAAATATTTTAGTATTTGTAATTAGTTTCGGGTTTTTGGGTTTTCCTTGACACATCTTCCAGACATGCTATAACCATTCTGAAATAACATCTTAGCTATTTCTCCCTTCTATCCTGCTGTAGCCAGGAAATGGGAACATTTCATTGAAAAAGAAATTGAGTGAAAGCTATTCAAATATTTGTGAATCTTGAAGAATTGTCCAGTTTGTAATGCCTTCAATTTGGATTGGCATTTGTCTGGCAAACAAGCATTACACAAAAACCGCGATAATCCATAGGTGCCTAAGGATTCTTTAAACAAAGTCAGATAAACTACTTTCTCAAAGTAAAGTTCCTCTCTGAAAGAGAAATGATAACTTACATATGGCCAGAGGCCTTTGGAATTGAATATGGCTGCAATGCAGATAGATTGATTGTAAATGAAAACAGCATGTTTATCACTGGCAAAGTGGTGTAATATAGAGAATTTGTAGGTAAGAATCAGGACTGGGATTCTGTTTCCATACTTCCATCAACCAGCTGTGATACCTCTGGCAAGTCACTTTGCCATCACTAAACCTCAGTTAGCTTACCTGTCAAAAAGGTAATAACAATGAGTGAGGTAACAGAAACATATAGAGGATCTCTGATTTTACCAGTTTTGGGAATTCCCACTAACAAAATCAGAGGATCACCATGCTATGATTTAGCAGGTAAGTCTTGAGGAGTGGCTGAATCACACAGAGGTTAAGTGACATGTCTACATAGCTATTTAGTGTCAGAAGCAAGATTTAAAACCAGGTGTTTTCCAACCAGGAGCCTGACACTTATCCATAATTCATAATGTCTCTGCTTGAGTAAGGATAATGACAGCAGAGATTCTAGCACTCTCTGAAAAGTTAAATAGGCATAAGAAGATAGTTGTGTGACCCTGGGCAAGTCACTTAACCCTGTTTGCCTCAGTTTCCCTGTCTGTGAAATGAGCTGGAGAAGGAAATGGCAAACCATTTCAGTATCTTTGCCACGAAAACCCCATATGGGGTCATGAAGTTTTGCACATAACTGAAATGACAGAACAACAACAACAACAACAACAACAACAAATGAAGATAGTATGCATAGACACACTGGGAAATGTGTACAACTGGCTGTCCAAAAATGGGGACTCAGATTTAGTTTTGATCGGCATTATTAACATTTCCTTCATCCCCCTCTCAAGTCCAGAAAGTCAACACAATAACAAATCAAACCATGATTTGTAAGATTTGATGTTTTTTAAAGTGTAACTGCACGTGAACATTTAACAGCTAGGTCTGAATCTAAAGTGGAACAGCCTCCAGCATACCCCTGAAAGACATTGCTATAAACCATTCTATTCTACGGCTGAGGAGCAATGCTTCTACTACATGATATTCTAAGGAAATTCTTGTGTTTCAATATGGCGGCTTTTTTTTTTTTTGGTCTTTGCCATATATAAAGATGTTAAGAAACTGGAGAGGGGTGAGAGTAGCTCAGTGGAAATAGCATTGATTTTCTTTGGAGTCAAAGGTTTCGGGTTCACATCCCCATTGATTGCTAACTATTTGTGTGACTTTGTATGATTTATTCTTTCAAGCCTCAACTTTTCATCTAGAAAATAAAGGGGTATTAAAGTCTTCTGAGATCCCTCCCAGCTCTAGTTCTATGAGCTTATGCTCCTAACAGTATGATCCAACTACCAAGGAGAGGAAACAAATAGGTTTGTTGGAAAAAGGAGAAGTAAAAGGAATATGTTTGATGTAAAAACAAAAAAGACTAAAGAGTAACTCCAAGGTTATTATCTTGTGAGGAAAATATAACTAGCGTGTTCTCTACATTTCTGTTAAATATAGGCATTCTGTAATCCTTAGAAGGCTATTTAAATGTTAGCAATTATTATCATCATTGTAATTATTAGATGGAATAAGGAAATTACATGGAAAGGGAAGCAGAAACTTGAGTTGGATTGAAGGGAAAACCTCTTGAAAGTCAGGGTGACAAAAATGTTGTGAAGTCTTCATCTCTCCAGAAATTGCAACAACAAACTGACAGTTTATTCTGGATAACTTTGTTAGTCCCAGGCATGAAAGGCAGTGCTCTGCGTCAGGTGACATCTCCAGTCTCTTCAAGGTCCATGATTCTTAAATTGACACAATGACTTCAATTATATTTTATGAATTGAAGTCAAGGCAATAATGGCCTGCACAAAGGCAGGTGTTATGAAGGTTCCCTATCATTGAAAAGGGGGAAAATACTAATTAATATGCTGTTTTATGATTTCTAAGTTTTTAATCATATAGAAATATTTTCTCTTCCTATTACTTGGGTATAATGTAGTTTGGAACTGCCATATGATAATTAGTAATTATTGCCATAGGGTTTGGGAGTGCTCAGTGTTCCCTAGCCTAGATGACAATGGCTAAAGTTCTATCAATGAATAAGATAAACCAATTAAGGTAAAATAGAGGAGGGAATTCTCATCTATGGGGAAACTTATTCATCCAGTTATGTCTTGAAAATGGATGCTTTGTGTTCAAGTGTGTAGCAATAAAGAAAGTAATTGAAGGAACAGAATGGAACCAAGTCCTTTACCTCTTCTTTGGCGATGCGCATGTCATCAGTAACATCTGAGAAAACTGTGGGCTGGATGAAGTAACCTTTGTCTCCCCAAGGGCCTCCTCCACATTCCAATTTGGCTCCTTCCTTCTTTCCACTCTCAATGAGGTCAAGAATTTTGTTGTACTGCTCTTTATCAATCTATATGAAAATATGAGTGGCAGGGAAGGGAAGGATAACAGAAAAGAAAGAAAAATTAAACTTAGAGTGACAATGATTCTTTGAACTTGTGATTAAGAAAAAAAGAAAATGGTCCAATGTTGCAAATATATCTAAATAGCTTTCCTGGACTGAAAGTTAGTTTTTTTTTTTTTGAATCTATCTTTGCAATGTATTACCTAAGTGTAAAGATGATTGTTATTACTAAAAATGTATAATGAGAAATCTTATGGCTAGCTAATTTAAATGAATCTCTGACCTGTGGCTGAAATAAAGGGGAAAACACCCCTTCTTTAGCTACCTTTACATGGCTGGTCTTAAATTACTGAAGAATGTCTCAATGTAAATGTATAGATTATGAAGAGAAATGAAATAATAATCATTTGTTCAATTACAATTCAACCAAAGTCCATCCTAATATGCTTTAAAAATTAAGAAAAAATACTCCAATTAATCTTGGTTGACTTTTATTTGGTTAAAAAAAAAGTCATCTAGCCTATAATTTAGAAGGATATTTGTTCCCAATGAGTTTATACTCTGTCCTGAAATCAATAAAGGTTATGGCAGAACTCATCAAGAGAAGTTTAAAATGGTAATTTGTTCTTTTTTGTCCTTTGTTCTCAAAGAGGAGAATGACATCAAGATGATGCCATGACTTGCAAGTGAATTGGTTTAAGTGAGGAGGGCTGTGCATAGTCCCAACCTCACTTTGAAATGGTAACTTAGGGGGCAGCTAGGTGGCTCAGTGGACAGAGCTCTGGCCTTGGAGTCAGGAGGACCTGCATTCAAATCCGACAACAGACACTTGACACTTACTAGCTGTGTGACCCTGGGCAACTCACTTAACCCTGATTGCCTCACCAAAAAGTAAAATAAAATAAAATGGTACCTTGGACTGGGAGGTGAGTGTCTCCAGGCCAGTAACTTGGTAATTGCTCATACAATACAAACACAATTACTTCCTATTTTTTTCTTTTTTGAGGCAATTGGGGTTAAGTGACTTGCCCAGGGTTACACAGCTACTAAGTGTCAAGTGTCTGGTCTGAGACCGCATTTGGATTCAAGTCCTCCTGACTCCAAGGAGGGTACTCTATGCACTGCACCACCTAGCTGCCCCCAATTACTCCCTATTAGCATTTTCTCATGATAACTATCTCTTGACATTAGTGGGTTCCCTTGAAGTTATCCTAAGTTTAAGAAGAATTTAGTAAATATTCAGTTTCTTTTTAAGCATTTCAAATTTATTATTGTGTCATGAAAAAAAGTAAAGCTTATCAAAGAAAGAAGAGTGGTTTAAAAGTTCCTGATTCCTCATACACATTTTTTTGGGTGAGAGGGGGTGGGAAAAGGTTGACAAAGAAAATATGATGAGTGGAAATAGGACTGGATTTGGGGTCAGAAGACTCAGGTAAAATTCTAGCTCTACTACTTACTTGGCTAAGTGACTGTAAGATATTCATTCAACCTTTATGAGTCTCAGTTTCCTCATACTTAAAATGGGATGACAACATTTTGCACTGTCTCATAGGGCTGTTATAAGAAAAGTGCTTTTAAGTTCCAAAGCAGCATTTTTGAAAGAGGGGAAGGGAGGGAGGAAGGGAGAAAAATTTGGAACTCAAAATATTGTAGAAATGAATGCTAAAAATTGTCTTGTCATGTAATTGGGGAAAAAAATACTATCAGAATAACTCCCCCCCCCAAAAAAAATTCCAAAGTATTACATAAATGAAATACTGTTAGTTTTTAAGAGGACCCCCTTATCCAATCAATCAATCCATCCAGCAATAAGGCACTTACTATGTGTTGCTAAGAAACAGTATGGCGTAATAGATAGCTTACTTTAAAGTCAGCTGATTGCTAAGTTAGCAGATGGCTAAGTAAATTACTTAAAATATCAATGCTCTAGGCAACTCTTTAAGTTACAGAGCAAGTGATGACCTGCACTGATAAGAGGGAGTTTCCTCTCCAGGGAGTTCTCCAGTGTCATCAAACTCAAATAGAAACTGATCCCTCTAGGGCACTTGTTGATTTAGGAAACCACAAATTAAAATCATCCATATTATATTGCATTTTTATTTATTTTGTTAAACATTTCCTAAATACATTTTCATCTGGCTCTACCCATACTTGGGAGTTTTACAGGTTGCTTGTGGCCTGCTGGCCAGGAGTTTGACACCTCTGCTTTATCCCAATGAAATCCCAGGTTCAATCCCTATGCCCTCTCTACTATGTTATAAGCTCTACGGTTACAAATTAAAAGTGAAAACAGTCCCTGTTCTATTTTCTTCATTGCCACTTAACAAGAAACAGATAATTATTTTTTCATGAATCTTGCTTATTGTATAAATAGGTTTTCAGTATTTAACTCATGTCACTCTATTAGGTTACAAGTGAGTCAAAGATTACATGATGACCTTCCCAAAGCAGAACACTCATGGATCAGCTCCCATCTCCTTTTGTACTCCCCTTCTTTGCTTCCAGTCTAGTCTGCACTCATGGGGCTGGCTGGGAATAGAAATTCACACCTATGGGTCTGGGAACAGTGTTTCCACTTTCTTCTGACAAACCCACTATAATGATGTACAAGTTAACACCTTAAGTTCCATTGTCTTTAAGTTTCACATTTCCAACTTATCATGGTACAATTAATGAGCAGAATAATATGATTATAGATTTAGAACTCTATAGGATCTGAGATTTCACCTAGGCCTTGGAGTTAGCCTTCTACTAAATGTGTGACTCTGGGCAGGTCACTGAAGCTTCACGGGCCCCTGCTTCCTCATCTGGGGCTGTACACATGAATTTTCAGATCTTTTCCAATTCTGATTCTATGATTTTATGACAAATGAATATAATTCTGATCCTACAAGCTGATTTTGTGGTTGAGGAAATTGAGGCCCAGAGTTTAAATGACAGACCCAAGGTCATGAAGGTATTAAGGTGCAGAAATGGGAATCAAATCCAGTGCCCTTTCTAAATTGACATCATCATCTTTCTTTTCCTCCATTCCCTAGACTGACTCTCCTTCCCAATTTTTGGCATAGTATCATCATACTTTTAGGTTGCCATGCTAGAAATATTTGGGACATGTTTGAGTCCTTCCTCTTCTTTTCAACCTACATATTCCTTTTCATACCATATTGTTATCATCTTTTAAAATATCTTTTCTTATCTGCTACCAATGTTATGCAATGACCTCCCTATCATCTTTCTGACTTCAGGCTCTCTCCCTTTTGATCCATCTTGCATATAAGAAGCTTGTAAACCTAATCTTCATAAAATATCACTTTCATCATGTTTAAAGTCTACTTTATTAAGTTGAACCTCCTTGGCATGGCTTTCAAACCCATTTCTAACTGGATCTCACCCTACTTATCTGACTGTATTTCTTAATAATCCCCAAATGTATTCCAACACTTTGTTAATGTGCACAGTATTCTGCTTGCCTGAAATGGTCTCTTTTATCCTCTGTGGATAATTCCTATTCCTATCCCACAATTCCTATTCCTTTATTTACCTACCTGAGGACCTTGTTGCACTCCTGGGTTTAGAGGATTCCCCAGTGTGTATTTCTTGGCACGCTCTATGCTCTTCTGAACAAACTCATTGTAAATAGACTCTTCCACAAAAAGCCTCGATGCGGCGATGCAGCACTGGCCTTGGTGGAAGAACACACCCTGGTGTGCGGATTCTACAGCACTATCCACTGTAAAAGAAATATCATAAAACCCACAGGTTACACAAAGTCAAAAAGAACACATTTCCAAAAGATTTTATATACATATATGTGCATATATATATATATATATATATAAAATATACACACATATTCTTTTTTGCCAAGAGGAGAGGAAGTGTCTTTTAGCCCGTAAAATACACAGCATATATTCTATGGCTCTTTTTGGACCTCACTGTCACTGAATATTTGTGGATAGAGACTGCATTAAAACTGGATAGTGGGAAAAACTTGAAATGATTGTACAAGTCTCTTGGGCTAAATTGCATCAAAATATCGCTTTGAAAAGACTCGAGTAATTGCCCTCTGGATAAGGTAAAACGGACTACTGGAATGAAAGCTAAAGTTTCCTTTTTCCTTCCTTTCAATCTTTGAATCTTGTTCTACAGAAAGAATCTTTCAAAATACCTCAAAAATTGAGTCAATATCCTTCAAATAAAACTAAACAAAAAAAACTCACTTACTTATGCCTTGTTGAGATAGTTATATGCGCATTTAAAAGTTATATGATTGTGTTATGGTTAAGTTTTTATCAGAAGACAATATAGTCTTTTCAATGTACTAATTTCTCAGAAACTTAGCTTTGGAGTTATGTATAATTTTTTTTAAACTTTGCATACTGTGAACATCAACTTATTTCCTGGCTGAAAAGATAATTTAATCTTTTTAGTGTTTAGTTTGGGAGATGTCCCATGTTACTCTTTGTTAAGTTAGAGGCCATTAAATTTTACAGTGGACAGAGTCTAGAGTCAAGAAAATCTGAGTTCAAATTTATCCTCTGACACTAGTTATGTGATCTTTGGCAGGTTACACAAACTCAGTCTCTTCAACTGTAAAATGGGGATAATAATGTCATCTACTTCCCAGGATTGTTGTGACAATGAAATGAGATACTATTTGTAAATCACTTTTCCAAGCTTCACACACACACATATACACATATGTTCATACATGCATATACGTATATGTTAGATTTTATTGTTATTTTTATCATTATCTTTATTATAGCAGCCTAAGTACTCAGTTTCCTTTAACTTGATGGAATTTTCTCACCTTCTTAAAATTCTTCTGAACTAATTTAAAAAAGGCTTTTAAAAACAAGCATCTCTTAATGTGGTACAGAAAATGCAAGGACAGTATCATCTAAAAAGTTATGCAGTAAAAATGTCAGGAAGTAGATGTTACAGTACCGTGTCCAAAGTCCATACATCCTCTACATCTGAGCTTAGCCTTCCTGTTGATATGGTAAGGTCTAAAAGCATAATTCAGAGTTTTTTAGTTTGTTGATTATCTTCCAAAAGTAAAGATAATGGAGTTTTTGTTTGTTTGTTTTATTCTAATATGAACTCAGGTAAAATGTAAGCCCCTGGAAAAGAGCAACTGCTTTGGTTTTTTTCTTTTGTATCTCTAGAACTTAACAAAGTACTTTGCAAACAGAAAGGGCTTGTTGATTTAAAAAAGTCTCATCCCAGGAATCTAGTTAGAAATAATTTAGCGCATTGCAGAATATTGGTGAAACATTGCTCTGAGACAGGGCAAAAGTGAGAGAAAAAAGCATTAATCATACTAACAGTCAGCATCAGCAAATACAATGCAAGGACTCTTTCCTCCCAGTTCCAGTGTAACTCTCTTTAGGTTGCTCTTCCCAGCAGCCTGTTTGATTAGCAGGCCAACCTGAAAGAGAACATGAAGAAGTTGGTCCCCAGTAGGGAAAGTTGGTTGGCTCTCATCCATAGCACTTAGATTTCTAAGTCTTGAATTTCTCATGATGTTCCCTCACTTATATTGTTTGTTTGTCTTTGTATTTGCTCAGATGGGAATCTGGACCAAATGGTTTCCAGTATCCTTTCCAAATGGAAAGTTGTATGATTCTGTGATTCCCTTTATTCTTTAGCTTCACTATCTCAATCTCCTTTTAACTAACACACTATTGAGAAGGAAAACTAGAAGGATGCATTTGGAGATGCCTTTTGCTTGCATTCAGATATCTCTGTATTTTGTCTTGCTGTATAACAATACCCCCAAATCAGTTTCTGTTATAATAACTAATATTTGGCAAATTGTTTTCCAAATTAAACTTTAGCATAAGAATATAGAGAGCTCCTAAAATACCATTTGATGCCAAAATATTGTATTTTAGTAACATTTAAATTTAACTAACTGAAAAAAAAGAGTGAATGCTTATGAAATGCTAGTTTTTATTTTGTATGATTATTGTCCATTAATAGTGAAAAACCAAAGTGGATGACAAATGTATGTTGCCCATTTTACACCACAGTTGGGTGAGAAGTGGGTCAAATAAGTCTGACCACATGTATAACTTTAGCAATCACTCTAGATGGACAATGAGTTAAATGTAGAATTGAATAGTAGGAAGAAATCAGGCTACATTGCAATTGGAGAAATGTGCAATACTTTCAGCAATCCCAATTATCTTACTGCTGAAATAATCTGTTGATTATCAATATTCTCAAAAGAATTGCAATTACTAATAGTACAAAGGGCAGTAGAAAGACATGAGGCTTATATAAGTGGGCTGTAGAACATGATCAACAACAATGTCTTGGAAGTATGAAAGATTAAACTGAGCTCATGTGTGATCAGAAAAGGAGGTGGTCAGGTAACAAGAATAAGAGACTATAGCTAGAATTTCCATTTGGTATACGAGTACCCAGAAGGCACTAAAATTATAAATGAAAGTCCTCCATTTCTTTTTGTACACCCTCTATGGAGAAAATGGACAGGAATTATTTAGAACGAGGAGGCATCAAGGGGTTATAAATTCTATTAATCAAGGAACTACCAACACCAATAGAATAATGGATCAATGAAAACATGTAGCTTCCTGATTGCTGCCATAAATTACAACGTAATATTTGAATCTACCTGCGGTTTTTTTTTGGTTATATTAAAACTAATTTAGAGTTTTATTTCAACTGTGTTCTGTGAACCTAGAAAAAGATTTACCCTGGTGTGGAGTCCATCTGAATGGTTATTATACTTAATAACTTAATATACTTAATGTTATACTTAATAACCATTCAGATGGACACATTAATGTAATGAATGTAGATGGGAATGGCATACACTTGTGATCTCTTTTTCTTAACATAGGTACTTATATGTATGGATCTCTCTCTCTCCCTGTTCTTCTCCCTCAGCCTTTCCTATCCAACTCACAGACTATTGGAATTGGCAGACACTTTAAAGTTTATTTAGTCCAAACCCTTTATTATACAGAAGAGGAAACTGAGACACTGAGAGGTTGTGATTTGCTGAATATGTAGTTAGTTAACGACAAAACCTGGATTTGAATCCAAAATTTCTGACTTCAAGGCCTGTGCTATTCTTCACAGGGCTGCTGTAAGAACAGTGCTTTGTAATTTCTAAAGCATCACAGGCAGGTAAGACCTTACTAACCCTGGCATGCAATTCAGTTTTGATCCTGTGAAATAATACCCCAAATAGAGAGTATTCATTTAAAACTTCCAAGGCTTGATTTGTGTTTCCATTACAGTTGTCATCATTACCTATATCACTCTCCCCTTAATCAGTTAGCCATTCAGCACCTTTCCTGTTTTTTTTTTTTTGCAACTTATGTGGGAACCTAATAATTCAGTATTTCTTACACTTGTCTTGCTTACAATCCCAGCCAGTTCTTATACATCCACTTGTGACTCATCAATGTGACCCATCTTGGCCTTCCTCATCCTGTCAGTTGGTGTGTGCTCATAGAATTCAAGCTTATTTTGATGTTTGTCTATCTATGTCAAACACAGTAAGGAACAGCAGTCTGACAGGTGTGAGGAGGGGAAATAACAATACCTCCATCAATCAATCAAACAGCAGTTATTCAGTGCCTAGTCTCTGCTAATGTTTTTGCTAGACGCCATACCAAAAGCCAAGGAGAGAGAACGCTTGCCTTCAGGGGGGCTTACATTCTCTCACACCTAGCACAGTGCTCTGCAAATAGAAGGTACTTAATGAAGATCTGTTGAATTAAACTGAAGACTGCTCTCTCTCTAAATTACTTCCCTCTGAACCTTGTTTGATGGCATGAGACACGAATGTAATTTAAATGTAACTTGACTGCCACATGGCTACCTAAACTAACCATTGGAAATGCCTTAATATCTAACCTGTCTTACCTCTGTGGACCCTGTGAAGGACACTTTATCTACATCCATGTGAGAAGAAATGGCGGCTCCAGCCGTGGGTCCATAACCAGGCACAATATTTACTACTCCTGGAGGAAATCCTGCCTAAAGGATTCATGAGGTAAAAGAAGAACAGAAGGTAAAAAAATCACTCTTTCTCCAAGCATGATTTCATTCATTCATCATGACAGAAATCTTTGGTGTATTCTTAAGACATTCCTAATAAAATATTTTGTTTTTCACTTCCTTTTTCTAGGAAGGGATAGAGTGGAGATGGTAGTAACCATGCTAGAAAGAAAAGGGAGTCATGAATGGTATGTACATATTTCTTCTGTCTATCTCTCTTTCCTCTATCTCTCCATCTATTGTTCCCCTTGGTTCTTTTTCTAAGGACTCATCATGATGTCTAATTCAATTCCCACAATCCTTTTAGATTACAATATTAAGATTAACCACTGAAGAATCCGATTCAGCTCTTAGAGTTCTTGAGAGGAAGGAACATTCTCATCCTTAAATGCGTTGCATCATGATGAAGTACTAGAGCAAGACGTTATAGAGAAGACCTGAATTTTGTTATCTGGCTCAAAATACATGCCCTGGAAGGTCCTCCTGAGCTAACAAGGCTTTGAAACTAGACAAGTGATAAAATCGGTACCTATGTCTAACAATCAGCCTAAGTTTGAGCCTTGTTGGTTGCAAAGTGTCGTATTTTTCAGCTGCAGCAACTCTCAAGATTTTCAACTAATTTGTATTGTAGGCAAGATCTATGTCAGTGGGAGATAACTTCTACACCAAGAAAATCACATTCTTGGAATATTGAAGAATAATAAAATAGGGTCTGTGTGTAGAGAGGATGGTAACCATTGAGAGTTATTCAAAACCGTATGCAATCCAAACAAACTACAAAAAGGTGTATTGGTAATGTAAATACGATGCTACTTAAATTTTTTTAAACAGAAAAATAATCAACACAAGCAATTAAAATGTATTTCTGAGACATTTAGGCATAGAGAACTTTCTGATACCTCTTTATGCTGGAATATGTAAGTGTGTATATATGTGTATACATATATACACATATATACATGCACACAAACACATATATATATATAAACATATAGACACACATATATGTGTGTTTATATTTGTATAACGGATTTATTTTATTTTCAACTCATGGAGCGAAACAAACATTTCCGTAACATAGTACAAAAAAAGAGATGATTGCACATAAAACTGCAAATCTATCATGTACAACTTGCTATTCCCTTCAGACATACAACAAAGCTGCCAGGTAAATTTCTTTTTTTCCTTTTTTTCCTCCTTCTGCCCTAGAGATGGCCACCATTAGACACAATAGCTATATATATATATATGTATATACATAAAATTATTCTATACATCATTTCTTTCTCTGGGTCCAGGTAGATTGTTTTTTCATGTCTCCCTTATTTTTAATTTGTGTTTTTATAATAGTCAAAATGACTTAATTGCTCAAAGTCATTCTTAAAACAATATTGGTGTTACTTCATAAAACATTCTCTTGGTTCTACTCCTTGTTCTATATGATTTCATGCAAATATTTCATCCTAGGATATATTTATGTGGATTTTCTGAAGTCAGTGTCAAGGATTTTAATGTTTCTTCACAATGGGCAGGGCTCATTGGCCCATTTACAGTTAGGTGAAGTAGTGGTTTCACATAGTACAGAGCAAGGAATTTGGATCAGCAGAATGCTTCTTTGTGAGGGCAGTACTCCAATTATTCACGTAGTGGATTGTTACAGAGCACATTGTGACTTAGCAAACTTACCTCTTTAATTAATGATGCTAGATAAAGAGCAGTGAGTGGAGTCTGCTCTGCTGGTTTGACAACCACAGTGTTTCCACAGCAAAGGGCAGGTCCGATTTTCAAAACTAGTGCAACCAAAGGGAAATTCCACTATAAAGCAATAGATAAACATTGATTTCTTCATTAATACTGAATCATGTTTTCCATAAACCCATCCCCTGATGCCTCATGGTAACATGGAGTGACTGTGAGTAGTGGAATGGAAGTTCTAGCAGACTCTATCCAGCTAAAAGCCTTTTGAATTTAGGGGAAGTGATAAGTTATAGACCAAAGTTATTTTTGGAGAGGTTAATCAGAGGAGTGGCTACCAACTTTCAAACAAACAACTTAGGAAGACTATTTAGATTGTGAGAGTATTATTAAGATCAAAGAAAGAAGAACTCACACTGTTGAAATCATGGATTTGTGGAGTATTAAAATAATGAATGGAATTTCAGTCACTATATTTCCTACACATTCAACATTTCCCAAACATTAAATAGTAATAATTATAGTAGTACTAACTCAACTTGGGATCTTATAGATTTTAAATGAGTACAAGTACAATGGCAACTCACATATATTTAAAAAGAACTTTTAGAAAAAAAAAACAACTGCTTAGTGTGGGGCTGGGAAGAAAGGACAAGTTTGGCCCTTTAATTGATGTTCTTATGAATGATTTTTCTGCCAAAAGAACAATGTTTCATAGAGTAGGAACCACATTCTCAGTGTGACAATAAGAGATTAAAGACCAAAACACTTCTTTTGGTCATTTGTTATTGTTTTCAAATTATTATATTGGGTTTCAAATGTTAGAAATGACCCAATAGATCAACTAGGTTGTTGAAAGTATAGAGCTCAGCAAAGTATATGTGGTATTATTTTTATTTATTTATCAATTAAATACCAATAATATAAAATTATCAAAATATTAAAAAAATCAATTCAAATATAAAAATTTCACTAAAATAAATAAATAATTATCTTATCTATCTCTCTATCTATCTATCTATCTATCTATTTAAAAGGAAAGTGCAAATCTTTCAACATTCAGATGACATTTCTTTGGCTTTAAAGGAAATCTCAGTAAGGATGGACTCTTGCTTAAAGGAATTTTAAACAAATGCTTGTTTTTAATATCTGACAAGTGGAAGCAACTTACAGGAAGGATTTGGCCACAAACACCGATAGGTTCATGTCTTGTATATGAGAAAAACTTTCCATCTGAAATAAACCAAAATGAACAAACAAACCACAAAACATAGTATATCAGACAAATATTGTTCTGAAATAGCCAGTAGAAACAAAGGCAAATATTTTCCATGTTGAAAAAAAGGTTTTTATAATATTGCATGGTATAATAGTGTATGATATTATTATCTTATTTTTACCAATGGGACATTTAAATTCTTACTACTACAAATGTGGGTTTATTTATTTTTTTATTTAAATGATCTTTATTATATGGCATAGCATTTTTATGTCATTCAAACAATGCATCAAAGTCACATCAGAACAACTATATAGGTGTTGGAAGGGATTCAAAAGGTAGTATAATCCAGCCTCTCAAACATTCTGAAACATATTTGTAAAGATTTCCAGAAAGTCAATTGTAAATAACAGAGAATGGCATGTATGTGGAGGTGGTGGGTAGGCAGGGAGCATGGCAAAATGCCATCCTGGAGTTGAATATCAATGTATCAATGATTTAACAGCAAAAGAGTATTCAGGATTCCTAAAATATTCATGCTTGATTTCCTTGGTTGGTGGTACCACCTCCATGAGTTGCCTGTCCTAAATGATTTAAATAATAAAAACAGAAAGCCATAAACATTCCCTCGTCTTCTTTTTCTCTCTTATCCCTACCCAAAGCCTTCTGTTTTAAATTTGAATTTGACTTCATTCTACTTGCATAAGATTCAATTTTGCCTTTCCTGCTAATTAAAAAAAATCATATTTATATTTTCCTAGAATAGCAAAGTAATGACCTTACATATAGTTGATGCTTAATAAATGTTTGTTGCTTTTCAATACTAATTCATTTCAATCCATTTGTACACTTTATTCCTTCTTGCACTTTATCAAAACAGAAACTAGATTCCCCCCCCCCCCAAAAGCCCCATGATTTCCTTGCTCTCTTGTCATTCTCATTCTGTGTTTCACTGCTGTTGACCTGCCCAATCCCCATCTCGTATCTGTGCTTCATCTTGGCTGGGCTTCTTTATTAGTTTTTAGGTAGTTTCAGTGTTGCTAGGGTTATTTTAAATCCTTAGGGAAGCTTAAAGATAATTTCCACCAAATCTTCAACTATCAGGCTCATTAAATTGGAAAGTGAAGTCAGTCCTGCATGCTGGAAGTAGAGCATGTCTTGAGGACAACTTTCCTTCATTTGCTCTTTAGAAGCAGGTTTTAGATGAACACTCAACTGATCTCTCAACCTTTGTGCTCAAACTCTGCCTCTCCTTCACTTAGTAAGTAATTTTAGTCAAGTATGTCACTTAAATTTCTTCTTTTCTGAATTCTAGCTGAGCTGAATTACACTGCCAATTCTTGTTTTTCAGATATCTAAGTATTTATCATTCCATAACATTACCTGCATTGACCATTAAAAAAACCCCAAATGTGTTCTTTCCCATCTCCAGTCTGAGACTCGAAGCTATGAAGTTATGGATTCATTTTTATCTTTTTCTGAGTCCACAACTTTCAACAAAAGTTTAAATCAATGGTACAAAGCAAGGCTGGGGCAGGTGGCCGTACCTATATGGTATTGGAGTATTGAAAATATGTCAGCTAACTATTACTTGATATATGAGCATAACATCTCTTTGCAGATTAAAAACAAAAGAAAACCTCCAAAAATGAGAAATAACACTAAATGTAAGCTTTGAAATGTCTGATCTATACATAGGTGTATGTGTGTTACATTTTACTCTTTTCAATAACTATTGTACTTTAGTGTATTTCATATTGTATTTATTTTTAAAAAAATATTTCTTAAGCCTGTTAATGACATAATTTTGCTGAGCTTTTGAATGGCAAATAATAAATATTAACAGATTTTTACAATAGAAATTTTTCATTATTAATCAACAAATCACCACAAATTTTTATTAAGCATCATTTTGTGTCAAGCATTGTACTAGGAGCCTGGAATACACATACAAAGAAGGTTACTTGTGATAAACTTGCATTCAGATGAGGGAGACAAGTACATATAAAAATGTATTCAGTATAAATGTAAAGTTAACAAATAGAAAAGATATATAATATAGAATTATAATATGATACATAATAATAAAGATGTATATAAAGTAGTAAATACAAGATAACTTGGAGGAGAGGGTATAAAATTGGGGAGCCTGGGAAAGGCTTTCTCCAGAAGCTTGAATTGCATCTTAAAAGAAGAAAGGAACTCTGTGAGGAAAAGATAAGGAGGGAATGCATTAGAGGAATAAGAGAAAGCCATTACCAAAGCATGGAGAGGGGCATAGAGTATCATGTATGAGTAACAGAGAAGGCCAGTTTATTTGCAACATAGAGTGTAGGAAGGGGAATAGTGTTCAATGTAATTGGAAAGGTAGGTTCGGCCCAGGACATTAAATGCTAAATAGATGAATTTATATTTGACCCTTAATGAACTAGGAAGCCATCAGAACTGGCTGAATGGAGGTGTCACACAGTCAGATTTGTACTTAAAGGAAATCATTTTGGCAGCAGTTGACTAGAGTGAGAAAATATTTGAGAAAGGTAGACCAATTAGGAGGCTGTTTTCATAATCTTGCTAAGAGGAGATGATAGCCTGCCAAATCAACATTTGTATGAGTGCAGAGAAGGTGTTGGATAGGAAGGTTGTCATAAAAATAGAAACGGCAAGATTTGGACACAGCTTGAGAGTGTAGAGTGAGGAGTCCAAGTCAATGAATATGATACAGTGGAAGGAGGATGATGCATTAAAGTCTGGAAGTGAAAAGAGTTTAGCAGCAAAGATAATAAATTCAAATTTAGAAATGTTATCTTCAAGATATCTCTACAATATCCAGTTTGAAATGTCCAGAAGGTAATTGAGCATGTGAAACTGAAGTTCACACCATATACCAAAATAAAGTCAAAATGGGTACATGATTTAGATATAAAGGCTGATACTATAAGCAAACTGAGAGAGCAAGGAGTAGTTTGCCTGTCAGATCTATGGAGAACAGAAGAATTCATGACCAAACAGGAGATAGGGAATATTATGAAAAGCAAAATAGATAATTTTGATTACATTAAATTGAAAAGTTTTTGCACAAAGTCAATGCAACTAAGATTAGAAGGAAGGTAGAAAATTGGGAAAGAATTTTTACAACCAATCTCTCTGATAAGGGTCTCATTTCTAAAATATATAGAGAATTAAGTCAAATTTGTAAGAATACAAGCCATTCTCCAAATGATAAATGGTCAAAGGATATGAACAGACAATTCTCAGATGAAGAAATTAAAGCTATCTATAGTCATATGAAAAAATGCTCTAAATCACTATTGATTAGAGAAATGCAAATCAAAACTCTGAGGTACCACATCACACCTTTCAGAATGGCCAACATGATAAAACAGGAAAATGATAAATGTTGGAGAAGATGTGGGAAAATTGGAACACTAATGCATTGTTGGTGGAGTTGTGAAATGATCCAACCATTTTGGAGAGCAATTTGGAACTATGCCCAAAAGGCTATAAAAATGTGCATACCCTTTGACCCAGCAATAGCACTTCTAGGGCTATATCCCAAAGAGATCACACAAATGGGAAAAGGACCTACATGTACAAAAATATTCATAGCAGCTGTTTTTGTGGTGGCAAAGAATTGGAAATTGAGAGGATGCCCGTCAATTGGGGAATGGCTGAGCAAGTTGTGGTATATGAATGTGTTGGAATACTATTGTGCTATAAGAAATGATGAACAAGGGCAGCTAGATGGCACAGTGGATAGAGCACTGGCCCTGAAGTCAGGAGAACCTGAGTTCAAATCTGGTCTCAGACCAAACACTTGACACTTACTAGCTGTGTGACCCTGGGCAAGTCACTTAACCCCAATTGCTTAAAAAAAAACAAAAACAAAAACAAAACAAAACAAAAAAAGAAATGATGAACAGACTGACTTTAGAAAAACCTGGAAAGACTTGTATGTTCTGATGCTGAGTGAAGTGAGCAGAACCAAGAGAATGTTGTACACAGTAACAGCCACATTGTGTGATGACTACTACTGATAAACTAAACCCTTCCTGGCAATACAAGAATCTAAGACATCTCCAAAAGTCTTATGATGGAAAATGCTATCCATACCCAAAGAAAGAACTGTGGAAGCCAAATTGTTATTTTTTTTTCTCTTCTGTTGAGTTTTGTTTCCTCTTTCTGATGGTTCCTCCTATTGGTTTTAATTTCTACTTACAATATCACTAATGTGAAAATATGTTTAATATGAATGTAAATGTATAGCCTATATCAGATTGTGTGCCATCTTCGGGAGGGTGGTGGGGTAGAAGGGGGAGAAAAATTTTAAACTCAAAAGCATATGGAAGTGATTATTGATAAATCAAAATAAATTAATAAAAAAAATAAACTGAAGTTCAGGGAATAGATTGTGGCTAGATATGTAAAAAGAAGAATTATCTGTTTAGAGACCAGGGCTCAACCCATAGAAACTGAAGAAGTTACTAAAAGAGAATATAAAGGAAGAAAAGAAGAAGCCTCAGAAAGAACTTTATGGGATACCCACAGTTAGAAGATGGGATATGGATAAATCAGCACAGAGACTGAGAAGAAATAGTCACTAATATGGAAATGTGTTTTATATAATTGCACATGAATAACCTATATCATATTGCTTGTTATCTTGGGGAAGGAAAAGAGGGAAGGAGGGAGGGAAGGAAATTTGGAAATCAAAATCTTATAAAAATGAATGTTTAAAGTCATCTTTACATGTACTTGGAAAAATAAAATGCTATTTATATTTAAAAAAAAAGAAGAAATAGTCAGATGGGTAGGAGTCAAAGCAGGAGAAAGTAGTGTCAGAAAAACTTAGAGGGGAGAGAGTATCCAGGAGGAAAGGATGATTAACATGTAAAACTCAGCAAATGGGTTGAGAAGGATTAGGGCTGAGAAAAGAATATCAGATTTGGCAATTAAGAATGCCAGCTGTTGAGTGATGAGGGTGGAAAGAAGATTGTGAATGACTGAGGAGTAAAAGGAGAGGAAGTGGAGGCAAATAATATAAAGTTGCCTCTTAGTTTTTTTTTTTGTTTGTTTTCAAGGTGTTTGGCTGAGAAAGGGTGAGAGATAAAGGGTGATAACTTAGGAGATGGGAGGATGTGGTGAAAGTGTATTAAGGATAAGGAAAACTGGAGCCTGCTTAAAGGCAAAGATTCAAAGGATGACTGTGGAATGCAATCTCCTGGTGATGATAGGAGGGAATAGGAACTTGTATACAAGTAGAAAAGTTGGCTTTGGCAAGGAGATTCCTAAGTCTATCTGAGACTAAAGCAAAGGAAAAGAGACTAGCAGAAAGGAGGAAAGAGTGGTAGAGAATATTAAAAATAATTCTAGTGCCAAGTGCTAATATGCATTTTTAAAAAGTGCCTCTTGTGGCAGCTAGGTGGCACAGTGGATAGAATTCCAGCCTTGGAGTCAGGAGGACCTGAGTTAAAATCTGACCTCAGACACTTGACACTTACTAGCTGTGTTAACCCTGATTGCCTCACCCAAAAAAAAAAAGTGCTTTTCAAATTTACTTACCAATTGGGATTGTACGACCTTGAATCTTATCGGCCCAGCTTGCATTGTAGCGTATAACATTCACAGACAAACCTAAGTCCATCAGATAGGCATGGGCAAAGATTTTTCCACCATTCAATGATTCCATTGTCTGAAAAAAAAGATCAGGTGCCAAATTGAGTTTCATACACTATTAAAAGAAAGTATTAGATTAATTCTATTTCAGGCAACAATCTGGTATAATAAAGGAGGGAAGAGTAGTAGATAGGTTTGGAGTCAGGAAGACCTGGGTTTCACTGTTTCTTCTATTTTTTTAATTAATTAATTAATTTTTTAGGCAATTGGGGTTAAGTGACTTGCCCAGGGTCACACAGATAGTAAGTGTCAAGTGTTTGGTCCGAGGCCAGATTTGAACTCAGGTCCTCCTGACTTCGGGGCCAGTGAGTGCTCTATCCACTGCACCACCTAGCCTCCCCTCACTGTTTCTTCTAATACTTACTAGTACAGTGACTCTGGGAATGCCACTTAAAGCTCTACATGCTTATGGCAATACCTTAAGACCTCTCTCCAAAATAAGTCTTATGAAGGAGATTAGGAGTTAGGAGAACAGGTGCTCCTCCTACTGAAGAAATCACATATCTTTGTTGTGATTACTTCTGAAAATATATCTTTAGGGGCTTCCATCATGTTCTGAGAGATGCACCACTGCCAAAGTATTCATCAGATGATTTTTTACTCTTCACAAATTAACAGGACATAGAGCAGAGCAGTATTAGACAAGGCAGTGCAGCTTGGGGTGGAACCACACTGTGGGATCCCTGAAAGGCAGTTGGTGAGCAACAGGAATCAGTAAAGAAGATATATATATATATATATAATATATATATATATATATATATATATATATATATATATGGTACATTCTCTCCCCTTCCTACCCAACTCCCTGTAGGTTATAAACTTGATATAGAAATGGACCATGTCTTAATTACAGTACGATTGTATCTTTTCCCCTACTAAGTACAGTGGTTTGCATGTAATAGACACTTGATAGTGATACACTGATAAGATGTCACTTGTTAGAATGAATAATTTATATTCTGAAGGCTCATAATTTTCAAAATGATGAAGTGTTGAATACTAGCTAGGCTTGCTATTTTATATAAAATTTGCTCAGTTCTTTGTGGCAACTCATTCTCGAAGGGGGTGAATAATACTGATACTATTTATATAACGCTTTTCAGTTTATTAGCTTCTTTCACATGAATTGTATCAATTGAACAATTGTGAGTCAGTTGGTGGTGTAGTGCATTGATGGCTGGGACTGGAATTAGGCAGACCTGAGTTTAAATCTAACATCATACATTTACTAGGTATGTCACTCTGGACAAGTCACGTAACCTCTGTCTGTCTCAGTTTCCTTAACTGTAAAATGGGGGTAATAATAGTACCTACTGCATAGAGTTGTTATGAAGGTCAAATGAGATAATATTTGTAACAAATGAGTACAGTACCTGGTACACGGTAGGTACTGCATAAATGAACATTCTTTTCTTTCCCTTTGATCTAATATCATTTGATGCTCACAACACAGTTTGGTAGACAAGGGAAATAGCATTTCTGATATTTATTGTTTGGCACAATAAGTCTTATTTTATATTTGTAATGTCAACAACTTGTACAGCACCATACATAGTAAAAGTTAAATACTTTGTTGTTGGATTGAATAAATTCAAGTCTCGTTTAGTCCTGAGGGGAAGAGGGAAGGTTCAATCAGAATGCTCTCCAAGCAAGCTTTATGCATAACAAAGTTTTCTTCCTATTTAAATAAGAGTATCCAACTACATGTCTTCTAAGATAACTTTCAGCTCTAAATTTCTAGGACTTCCATGAATTTTATTTTTGGGGGTCTTATTCCCTAACTGATTAACTACCAACCTATAAATCACTAAAACGTTAAGTGTATCCCAAGAAATGCAATGTGCATACAAATGATAAGTGTCAAAACATATACTCACATTATGAATTCCAACATATATATATTTCACTTATTGTTTTTCCTTACCACCTCTAGGGACAGAACAGTTTGCCAGTCTAGGGACAGAAGAACTTGCCAGACTTGAAAATTTACATAATGCTTTGGTTAAATAAATACGATAAGATCCAACTTTTATTAGCTCTGTGTAGAAAGAATCCTGGATTTAGTATTAGTACACCAGCATCGAATCCTGCCTCTAATAATTTCTATGTAGATGGACTTAGGTGAGTCATTTTTCAGTCATCTTATCTATAAGATAAGAAAGCTCAGGACCAGACAATTGCTAACATTCTTCCCAGTATTAAAATCTGATTCTATAAACTTTAGATAGGTCACAATTTCATTCACCCTGAGTATCTATCTATAACATGTAGATAATTTTAATTAAGATCAACCTCACAAATTTATTGGAAGGAAAGTGAACAATTTGTTAAGATTCTTTTCTGAAAACTGAATTATATATATATATATGTATGTATGTATATATGTATATGTATAGACCATGACTTAACATATAGAAGTTATAGACTCTTGGCTAAAGATGGAGTACCCAGAGAAGGGGTTGATAAGAATGAGTTTTCCTGGTATCTTGCAAATTTAACCAAGCACTTTATGACTGAAAAGAAAGGAGGGACAAAACTATTTACCAAGCTAATACTACCATGTTGAGTAGCTACACTGTAGCTAATGGGAGTGGTAGTGGTTTACCCCAAAATTTAAAGACACGAAATCTGAGAAAACAGCAAGGGGTAGAACTCATAGACTCAAACATCTACAACCCATAGCATCAAACATGTACAACGTATGAGAAAGAATGAAATTGAACAGGAGGGTTTAATGTAAGGAGGCAAATTTGACTTGATAGACATTAATGAACCTTGGCTCAAAATGAGGTAAATAGCAAAAATATGCTTGTAGAATGGAACCTTTTTCCAAAGAAAGAACAGAGGAAAAATGGGGATAAAGGAGTGTGTTAGTTTAAGAAGAAATGCCTATGTGAGCAAATTCTTGAATGAAAGGAGAGCATAATGGAGAACATTTTGATGATGAACAACAGATGCAGAAACAGAATATTGTTACAGACAAGGGCTCAAAGAATCAGCTTTGCAGACAAAAGGTATGAAGGGTATAGAGAAGCTAGATATTAGTTCTTCTGAACAAGATCTATGACCTTCCAGTAGGATGAAAGTTCAATCTGTGCCAGCTCTTTAATATGGCAACCAAAAAGATTTAAAATATTTGAAGGAAAGCCACATGGAAAAGAGACTTGACTTGTTCTTCTACTTGGTCATAGCTCATAGAGTTATGTATAAATAGCAGAAGGTTCAACAAGGCAATTTTAGACTTAATATGAAGATGTAATCTTCCTTAGAAGATTAAAGATATCCAAGTATGGAATGGGTTGCCTTGGGAGTAGTGGTTTCCCCTTTATTGGAGGTCTTCAAGCAAAAGCTAGATGACATTTTTTGTTAAATTATACAAGAGTTAAACTAGATGCTCTCCAGATCCGTTCCACTTCCCTGATTAAGTGCTTTATAATTCTTTAAAGGTGCCATATACATATTGAGTTATTATTATTAATTACTACCACTACCACCACTACCACCACCACCACTACTACTACTACTTGTACTACTACTACCTATAAAAGGAGCTGTCAGTAAGATTTCTTTCAGCAGAGAGAGAGGAGAAATATTTTCTCAAAAGGTATTCCTTACAATCTCTCTCTCTCCCTCTCTCTCCATACATACATACATACATATTTGTATATGTGTATACACACACATATGTGTGTGTGTGTATATCTATACATAAGATATCATCATTGCAGACAAAACCAACTCGCTATAATGAACATGATTGAGACTTCTACCAATCCCTTTCTTTATCTGGTGCATACTTACTGCCAAAAGCAAATGGTCCCTTTCCATTAAATCAGCCAGTTTGTTCAGGAGCCGTCCTCTCTCTGAAGCATCCATCGTCCGCCACGGGGAGCCGATCTGAAAAGCCTCCCTTGCTGCTTTCACTGCCTTGTCCACATCCTCCTAAAAAGTCCAAGAAAGTTAAGTTTAGAGGAAGAATACTTGAGTTATTTCCCAATATAAGTTGGCCATGGAACAACATTTAGTGGTAGAATTCATGTGACAAGAGAGCATTGGAGGAAATTTCATATAGAAAGAGCAAACATTATTTTTCTATTCAGTCTATTTTCACTGATTTTCATATTTTCCAGATATTGATTTACATAATTTAAAATCACAGGATCACAGAATTTGACCTGGGAACATTTAACATCCCAATCTTATATTTACATGAAAAATTTACTGCTATTCTAAGGTTAATATATTGCAAATCCGGAATGGAACTTAAAGAGTATCTAGCCCAACTTTCACATTTTACCAGAAAGAAATGGGGAAACCCAGAGAATTGAAGGGACTTGCCAATATCATACAATGGGACAGCTGGGGTTTGAATCCAAGTGTTCTGATTTCAAATGCAGGTCTCATTTCATGACATATGTTGTGTTTATCCCTTACTCAAAGCTTTTTGCTTTTTTGATAAATATGTAATTTTGTTTTTAATATTTTAGGGGAAAAGGTTTTTAGCATTGACATATTTCCCATACAGAACTACTACTTACATAGAATGGAACACCAAGATTCCCTAAACCACTGAGGCATGGCTCACCTTGATTCCATTCTACAAATTTTGGTATGTGATCTCTTTGTTGTCATTATCTTTAATGAAATTATTGATTGTTTATATGATGTGTTCTTTGACCCACTGTTTCTTTAGTATTAGATTATTTATTTTCCAATTAATTTTTCATCTATTATTCCAAGGTCATTTATTAAATATAATTTTAATGAATTATGGTCCAAAAAGAGTACATTGAATATTTCCATTTTTCTCCATTTTTTTTGTGATATTTACATGGTCAACTTTTGTGAAAGTACATTAGCTGTACATGTGTAACTGGGGGAAAAAAGTTATACTGCTTTCTATTCCTAGTCAATTATCTCTAGATGTCTATCATATCTAACTTTTTCTAAAATTCTATTCATCTGCTTAACTTCTTTTTTATTTACTTCATGGTAAAATTTATATGCCTCTGAGAGGGGAAATTTGAGGCCTTCCATTAGCACAGTTTTGTTGTCTATTTCCTTCTGTAACTCATTCAACTTTTCGGTGAAGAATCTAAATGCTATGTTGTTTGGTCCACACATATTTAGTAATGATATGACTTTATTATCTATGGTATCTTTTTATCAAAATGTAGTTTCTCAATTATCCCTTATCTTTTTTTTTTGGTTTGTTTTTGCATTGTCTGAGATCAAGATTGCTACCCCTGCCTTTTTTTTTAAACTTCAGCTGAATCATAATAGATTCTGCTTCAGCCTTTATTTTAGCTGTATTTATTTTTCTGTTTTTCAAGTGTGTTTGTAACCACCACAGTGTTGGATTTTGGTTTCCAATCCATTCTGCTATCCACTGCAGTTACATGGATGACTTCTTCCCTTTCATAGTTATAATTATGAACTGCATATTTCCCTCCCTCCTATTTTCTTCTGTTTATCCTTCTCCCTCTTTTTTTTTTTTACCCTGTACCTCCTCAATGTCTTTTTACTTCTGACCACTGCTTCCTTTAATCTGCTTTCCCTCTTTGTCTTTTCCCCATCTCCTCCTATTTACCTATTGGTTAAAATAGATTTCTGTACCCAACTAAGTTTGTGTGTTTATATAACTATATCCTTATAAATATATTCATACATATATACTTATACATACTTATAAATACACATATACACATAAATATATACATATATATGCCATATATGGTATATATCCCATATATAGTAGTAAATAGCATATATCATATACTATAATAATATAGTATTACATATTACTATATATTGTGCTACAGTACATATAATACACATCATATACATATATAACATGTATAATATATACTACTGTTTATGATACTATAAATACATGGCATATATACTGTACTACTATATGCTATATCTATACTACTATATATGATACTATAAACACATGATTGGTGTGTGTGTGTATATATATGTAGTACTACTATGTACTATGTCTTATAATACTATCTACTATATGTGTATTTATTATATATATATATATATATATAGTACTATATGGGGTGTTTTGTGTGTGTGTGTGTGTGTGTGTGTGTGTGTGTGTGTGTGTATTCTTCCCCCCTGAAACTGGCTTAGTAGAGAGTGAGGTTTGAGTGTTGCATGTGCATTTTTTCCCTCCAGTGTACAAGCTCTTCCTTGAGCACCAATTTTATATGAGATAATTTCCCCATTCTTCCTTCCCCTTCTTACTTCTTCCAGTGAAGCCCTCTTTCTTAGTACTTCATTTATTCTTTACAAACCTTTCAACAGAATCAACTCACACCTGTGCCCTCTGTCTACATAGACTCCTTCTGATTCTCCTAATAAAGACAAAGTTCTTCTCATCTTACCATATGGCAATGTAACCACTTTAATCTTGTTGAACCTCTTATGATTTCTCTTTCATTATCTCCTTTTTTTTCTTTTTGGTGAAGTGATCAGGGTTAAGTGACTTGCTCAGGGTCACACAGCTAGTGAGTGTTAAGTGTCTGAGGCTGGATTTGAACTCAGGTCCTCCTGACTCCAAGGCCAGAGCCTTATTCACTGCACCACCTAACTGTCCCTATGCTCTCCTTTTTTAAAAGTTTCTTTTGATTCTTGTCTTTGAATGTCAGATTTTCTATTCATCTCTGGTTTTTTATGTCAGTAATGTTTGAAAGTCCTCTATTTCATTATATGTCCATTTTTCCCCCTGAAGAATTCTACTCAGTTTTGCTGAGTAGGTTATTCTGGTTTGTAATCATGTCTCCTTTGCAAACCCTCTGCTCTTTTAATATGGTATCTGCTAAATATTGTGTGATTCTGATGGTAGCTCTATGATATTTGAATGATCTCTTTCTTTTGCTTGAGTTATTTTATCCATGACCAGCTAACTATGGAATTTAGATATAATACTCATTTAAGTTTTCATTTTTGGGATTTTTTTCAGAATATGATCAGTGGATTCTTTCTATTTTTATTTTGCTCTCTGCTTCTAAGATATCAGTACAGTTTTCTTTTATAATTCCTTAAAATATATTGTCTAGGCACTTTTTTTAAACATGGCTTTCACTTATTCCAACAATTCTTTTTTTCTCATACATTTATTTATTTATTTTCTAGCTGTTTTTCTTTTTTCAAATGTTGCTGTCACTTTATTTTTTCTTTTTAAAATATATTTTATTTCCCCTCAATTACATGTTAAAACAATTTTTAAATTTCTAAATAAGACTTGAGTCCCAAATTCTATTCCTTCCTCCTTTCCTTCCCTTTCCCCTCACTGAGACAGTAAGCAATCCAAGATAGTTTACACATGTACAATCATGTAAAACATTTCCATATTAGTCATTTTGTGCAAGAAGACTAAAACTATCAGAGAACATTTGTTGCAAAATTCCCTCCTTTCTTATTTGCTGCTTTGCTTTCAATTTTGGTTGCATTGGTTTGGTTTGTGCAAAAACTTTTTAATTTTATTAAGCAAAATTATCTATTTTACATTCTTCTAATTCTCTCTATACTTTCTTTGGTCCTAAATTCTTCCCTTATCTGTAGATCTGACAAACAAACTTTTCCAAGCTCTCCTATTTTGCTTATGACATCACCCTTTATGTATTAATCATATACTCATTTTGAACTTACCATGATATATGGTATGAGGTGTTGTTCTATACCTAATTTCTCCCATGCTGTTTTTCAGTTTTCCAAGCAGTTTTTGTCAAATAATGAGTTTTTGTTTCAAAAGCTTAGATCTTTGATTTTATCAGCTACTAGATCACTATTAATTAATTACCATTTAATTAATTATTACATAACCACTATTAATTAATGACCATTTAATGTAATGTGTGTCTAATCTATTCCACTGATCCACCACTCTATTTCCTAAATTGTTTTGATAATTACTGCTTTCTAATAGTTTGAGATCTGGTAAGACTAGACCACTTTCTTTCACATTTTTTTTCATTGATTACCTTAATATCCTTGATCTTTTGTTCTTCCAGATGAACTTTAAAATTATTTTTCTAACTCTGTAAAATATTTTTTTGGTAATTTGATTGGTATGGCACTGAATAAATAGATTAATTTGGGTAGATTTCTATTATTCTTAAATGATTTCTCTTTGATTTGTTTTTCAGGTTAATTGTTTTTCTGATATTTCTCTTTTTCTTTTTTTTTAATTTCATTCTTTTGACTTTGTCTTATTGTTTCTTGATGTCTCATGGAGGCATTAGCTTCCACTTGCCCAAATTCAATTTTTAAGAAATTATTTTCCTTAGTGGCAATTTGTAACTTTTTCCATTTGGCCAATTTTGCTTTTTAAAGAGTTATTTTCTTCAGTGAGGTTTTATACTTCTTTTATCATTTGTCTAATTCTGGTTTTGAGGGCTATTTTCTTCAATATTTTTTGTGCCTCTTTTACCAAGCTGTTGGTTTTCTTTTCATAATTTTTTCCTCAATGCTTTCATTTCTTTTCTTAACCACTCTTATGTGATTAAAAAAAATTTTTTTTTGCTCTTTTTCTTTTAGCTCTTGAAGGAAACCTTTTTGGGTTGATGTCTGATATACATTTGTTTTTGAGGCTTTGTTTGTAGCTATTTTCACTTTATTGTCTTCTGAGTTTGTTTCTTGATTTTACCTATCACCATAGTAGCTTTTTATAGTCAGCATACTTTTTTGTTGTTTGCTCATTATTCTAGGTAATTTCTTGACTTTGAACTCTATGTGAGCTTTGCTCACAAATATCAGGGTTTGTTTGGTTTTTTTTTTCTTGCTGCTGTTTTCATATTTTTTTGGAGATTTTAAAAGTTCCAAGGTGCTTTCCATGAGGAAAGACATGGTCACTGTTCACTTAATCTGTGCTCTATTCCTTACCCATGAGTAAGGCCTAGCACTTGCCTCCTCCTTGGAATGCCAGCCCCTTTAGGGCATAAAGTTTTTCTTTGTGAGCATGTATTATTTTCTATGTGCCAGACACAGTGCTTTGTATTCCCAACCTACCAAAGTGACTTGAATGTAGTAGATACTTATTAAATATTTCATTGAATTGTTCATTTAATTGAGCCTAATTCAGTGGTAAGACATTCATAAGAAATATAAAATCTGTATACTAAACAGCCATATCTTATTGCCTAACATTTCACAGGATGATTGTTATTTATAGCAAAGCATAATTTAACACCTTATAGAGAGAAAATTTTTAAAAATCCTAGTCAGGGTTAATGGGCAAGCAATATATAAGAAGATAAACCTTAATCACAAGTTTTTATATTTAGATGTTGCTTTATTTCATACATTCTGTTCTCATTGAAGTTAAATTCAAAGAATCTGATTTTGCTCTATTTTGAACAGAGAGAAAGAAAGAGAGAGAAAGAGAGAGAGAGAGAGAGTACAAATCACCATAAACAGGAAGACTATCTTGCTACTGAAGAACATACTGTATGCTGACTACTCTGTTTAAAAAGATCTCTTTGGTGCAGTTCTTATAGCTGTATTCAGCTTGTGGTTTTATCCAAATATGGATATCTATGGGAATTTTAATCCCCACAAAAGAGTCAACACAACCAAATGGATGTAGATTTGACTAGAAATTAAGGAACTTGCATGATCTATCTCTTGCCTTCATTAAGCCTTCAGTCAATTATGAATAAACAGTCTTTGTGGAATGCTGTGTTACTGGATAAGCTGTGGTACCATAGTAGATTCCTGACTTTCCTGCTAAAAACATGAAGCTATTTCTTATGGATGTGATTTTGAGAACACAGTCCCCATGGCCTCTCATCTCCTGTGCTCCTTCTTTTGGTGGTAAAGTGATTTGCCCAGGGTCACACAGCAATGAGTAAGTATCTGAGGCAGGATTAGAATTCAGGTCTTCTTGATTCCGAGGCCTGAGCTTTATCCACTGTACAATTAAACTGCCTAGGTAATTAGGGCAAAGATAATCTAAAATGAATAATTATCTTTATTCTTACAGGAGGAAAATAAAAGAAGGCAGATGTAAATAATATAACAATTGTAAATATACCAAGTAATAAAATAAAATAATTAAATGATGGTTAAACAAGGAGAGGACAGTAAGGGGACCTAGATTTTTCATCAGTTATGCTGCTGACTTTCTGAACAGCTGTAATTCAGCAGTTGGTCTTAAAAAAGTAATATGCAATACTAATGAACCACAACAATTTCTATTCATTTTACATTTCTCTTCCTATGTTTAAGGTACTCAACATACACTTGGTATAATTTCTATTTTGAAGGCTAAAGTCAATATTTGCAGTATTTGCCCATTTTTCCAACTATCTTCATTCTGCTACAAATCCAAAATAATTTCTAGCTGCTTATTTCAACTATAGCTATCAATCCACTAGTACAATCTCATTCCAATGATTCATTATCACATGGAGAATATAGTTTTTGAATATAATGTCCAAAGCAGAACAAATTTGGACAGTCCTTACAAGCCGGAAAGGCTTCAAATATGAATAGATTTATAGATACTATATGTGCTGTCTAATGACTAGCCACGCTAATTTCAGAGATAGCCATAATCAGAATGCTTACTCTAGTGATTAACCATATTGGCTCACAAAGGCAGTCTACTAAGTCATGAAGGGGTTGTGATTTGCATTGATGCTATTCTATATGGTAGAAGTACAAAAAGACAATGGAAAGCAAACTGTTGTTTCCTAGGAATCTTCTGCTATCTTAATTTTGTTCATATGGTGATATCTATAGCTATATAGAAAGCTTATTAACTAAAAATACACCAAAAGTCACAAAAAATGGATATTCAGTTCCATGACAGATGTTGACCCAAATATACTGTGGGTATGTCAAATTCAGTTTACTGGCAGTTGAACTCATCATTTTTCCTCTCCATATGGACCCCTCACCAAACTTTTGGTTTTCCATTGATGATACTAGCATCCTTCAAGCATTCTTATCACTATACTACCATCATTTGAAAGAAGTGTTTATGTTTAGCTGGGAGAAGATAAAACTTAGGGATGACTTGACAGATTTTTTTCAATATTATGCAAGATTGTCATATAGAAGAATTAGACCTTTTCTGTATGGCCCTGAGGATGGGGAAGGGGATACTTAGAAATGTCAGACAGTGTAGAGAGGCAATTTAGGTACATTCTAAGGGAAAAACTTCCTAACAATTAAAGATATTCAAAAGTTTCATGCACTGCCTCAGGTATTAGGAAGATCGTTAGCAGTCTAGAAAAACCACTTTGGATATTCTAGAGTAGCATCTAGTTCCAGTATAGACTGGATAAAATGATGCCTTCTCTGACTATTCCAACCCTCCACATGGCTCTCTCTTGTTATTGTCTGAGCTAAACAGTTTAATACTTTATTTACATTAAATTTTGTATTGCTCTTTGATGGTTTCACATGTATTGGTCTGGTTTTTATCATCTCCTCAGAGGCAGGGATAATACCTTAGCCAGCATGGTGCTTCTGTATATCTTAGAAAATATTAATGAGGATACTTTTCCTACCAATATAGGTCAGCACCAGTTCCTACAATCTTTGGCAGTTATATGAGATATTGAGCAATTAAACCTGAGGCAGAATTTGAACCCAGGTTTCCCTGATTCTGAAACCATTCTATGAATTATGCCATGTTACCTTCCAGTAATGTTCAGCTTTCTTTGTTTATAGTTACATTTTCGCTGACATGATTGACTGATTATTATATAGATTCAGATATACAAGTAATATTTATAATAGATACTAATGTAAAATAATATAATACATGAATTTTTGTATGTATACTTCTTTGATACTTGAGTCTCTTATAAATCAGCAAACAGTTACTAAGCACTTACTATGTACCATGCACTATGCTAAGCACTGGAAAGACAGAGAATGCCAAAAGACAGTCCCTGTGCTCAAGAAACTTTCTGTCTAATGGGAGGAGATTACATGCAAACAACTATGTATCCAAACTATAAACAAAGCTAAATTATAAAGAACCAACAAGGAAGGTATCAGAATTAAGAGAACTTGGGAAAGACTGCTTGTAGAAGTTGAAATTTTAACTGAGACTTGAAGGAAGTCAGGGAAGCCAGGAGGCTAAGATGAAGAGGAGAGTATTCCAAGCATTGAGTGCATCCACTGAAAATGTCTGGAGTCCAGAAATGAAATGTCTTGATTAAGGAAAAAGCAGTAGTCAGAAGCAAAACAAACTTTTGAGGAAGGACAGGGTAAAAAGAGGAGAGAAGGATAAATAGAAGAAAATAAGATGGAGGGAAATACACAGTAATCATAACTGTGAATGTGAGTGTGATGAACTCCTCCATAAAATAGAAGTGGGTAGCAGATTTGTAGAAATCAGAGCCCAACAATATGTTATTTAAAAGAGACACACTTGAAACAGAAACACATACACAGAGTTAAAATAAAGGACTGCAGTGAATCTATTATGCTTTAGCTGAAGTAAAAAAGCAGAGTTGCCCAAGGGGATATAATACTGTGCATACTCTTTACCCCAGTAATACCTCTACTAGGTCAGTATCTTTGAGAGATAAAAGAAAAAGGAAAAGCACCTGTAAGTACAAAAATATTTATAGCAGGTCTTTTTGTGGTAGCAAATAACTGGAAATGGAAGGAATGCCCATCAATAGGAGGATGGCTCAAAAAGTTGTGGATTATGATTTGATTGAATACTATTGCACTATATATAAGATATATATATAGGCAGAATGGTTTCAGGAAAATCTAGGAAGACCTATATAAACTGATGCAAAGTGAAGTAAACAGAACCAGGAAATCATTGTACATGGTAACAGCAATATTGTAATAATGATCAACTGTGAAAGTCGTAACTGCTTTGATTATTACAATGTTTTAAGACAATTCTGAAGGACTTATGATGAAAAATGCTATCTATCTTCAGAGAACTGATGAACTCTGAAAATTGAAGTATTATTTTCTTAACTTTCATTTTTGCAACATGGCTAATGTGGAAATGTGTTTTGCATGATTTCACATGTATAAATGATATCATATTGTTTACCTTCTCAATTGATGAGTGTGGGGCTGGAGAGGGAGAGAGAAATTAATTTTCAAAATGTTAAAAATAAATATTTTTTTTAAAACAGAGAATGTGAGAAAGTAAGGTTTCCAAATAACTCTCATGTGAGAAAACTCACCTTATCTCCTTCTTCCACATCACAAATTTTTTCTTCAGTAGCAGGGTTAATAACTGGGAATTTCTTGCCACTCACTGAATCATGCCATTCATTGTTTATAAATATCTATTGGGAAATGCAAAAGAAAATTAAGGTTACATACATGTTTTGTTTGTCCTTCATTCTTTTCTTTTTTTTTTTTTGGTCAATTGGGGTTAAGTGACTTGCCCAGGGTCACTCAGCTAGTAAGTGTCAAGTGTTTGGTCTGAGGCTGGATTTGAACTCAGGTCTTCCTGACTTTAGGGCTGGTGCTCTATCCACTGTGCCACCTAGCTGCCCCTAGAATGGTACTTCTGAGTGACTGGAATTTCAGACCTTTAGCATAACTTCTTTGCTTTTTCGGCCATATCATTCCCCCAGTTCTTCATCAAGCATCTGATGTTGCTTCCAGCCATCTCCTTACAACTGAGGCCAGGAAGATTGGTTCAGTGTAACAACATTCATATATATGGTTCACACACCCTCTGGTTTCAATAACTTCATACTTACTCATAGTACATTTCCTTGGTTACCATATATAGTCTTCACAACTTCTTTAAGAATCAGCACAATTTCTTTTTCTACATGCCATTTAGTATAGTGTATATGCATGAACACTAGTCTTTTCTGGCTTGTAATGTATGTTGAAGTCACTGTTGGCTAGTACAGGTACCCGTCTCTCCTATGCAGCATCCAACTTGACACTAGTTAAAATTTAAACCAATCAATTATTAGCAGGCAACACTTGGAATATTGCTCCATTGTTATAGTCTTTGAACTTTTCAGTGACATTCAACTTCAAAGCAAAGAATTTCCAAATTGGAATGAGGTTATAAGCCTCATTTTCTATGAAACATCTGCTGGCAAGTGCAATTGGCCTTTGACCATCACTCTCTTAGTATAGGATAACTCTCACTTCTTCCAGGCTGGAATATGTATGGAGGACAAAAGTCTTGCTTTGCTTTACTAGGCAGCTCTAGTGCATATTGAAAACAGGGGATTAGGTTTTTTCACATTTGTCTACCCATTAATTTCCTAAAAGCTTTGAATTTCTTGTACTTCTGTTTGTCTCCTAAAATACATATTCACAAAGGAAGTTTAGTGATAGCAGTATAGTTCTTAACATATTTATATCATTAACTGCCAAATCCTTTAAAAACTGTCCTTTAACCTGAAAGATTCTGTGGATATGGCTGAAAGCACTTCTATATTTCCTGTATCAGTGCTTATTCCTAGTTGGAATACTATATAAACCATATACTTGATGCAAGCTCTGAAAAACTGGCACTTATCTATTGACAGTGCCAGATGATCCAAAACTATAATCAGTTTGTCCTTATGTTCTGTCAGTAGCAGAAATATATGTGTGTGTGTATCCCTATACATACATACATACATACATACATGTATGTAAGTATTCCTGCCTCTAAGACTTAAACTCAGGATGGTTGATTGCAAGAGTAATGCTCTTTCTTTCTACTTCTTCAAGTATAACCTGCAAGGCAACCATTTAGAGAAGTGGTTGTGGAAATCAATCTAGACCTAAAGTCAGGAAGGGCCAACTTGGAATCTGATATTTATCATTTTTAGCCATGAAACATAGGCATGTCTCTCACCTTCTTCTAGCCTATACTTCCTTACTTGTAAAGTAGTCTGTTGTAATACCTGCAGTATCTATCATGAAAGTACCTATCATGAAAGGTTGTTGTAGGGATTGAAAGAGACAATGCAAGTAACATGGTTTGCAAAGCTGAAAAGGCTCTATAAATACCAGTTGTTATTAGAATTAGGGTTTAAACACACAGTGGAGGGGAAGAAAAACTTTTAGTAGACTTTTTAAATGTATTCTTCCCCCCTCCCTTCCAGCAAATCTCACCTTCCATCAAACAGGGCTATTTATTTTGTCTTCATTTTGGTTGTATTTGTTATGGGGAAGGTTCAAAGTCTCCTGGAGACACAATTTCAGATACGGGGAAGTACAATTTTCAGACTGCAAAGGGAGCACAGTTACCTCGTCCCACATCTGATTTTCACCTCTCAACATTTCAACACTCATGTGGAGAGGTTTTAAATTCAGCTTAATGTATATATCATAGGATTATAGACAAAGCTGGAAGAGACCCTTGAGGCCATCTAGTCCAATGCCCCCATGTGTACTACATTGAAGGAAACACTTTGTAAATTAATAAGCACTATATTTTATGTGTTACTGTTGTAAGTAGGGTTCATTATGGTCATTCTCACTTTATGGATCACAGATTTAGAACTAAAAGCAAGTTTAAGGGCCATCTACTACAATGCCTTGTACAAGGCTACTGTGACAAAAACATTTCATAAACTATTAAGCATCATTGCAGATGTCATTAGTGTTTACTTCTTATCATTATGTCATTTGACCCTCAACAATCCAAGAAAGCAAATTTAGTCAATTAGTAGCATTCCTACTTTACATATTATAGATTCAGTACTGGAAGGCACTTTAGAGGTAATCTAATCCAGTTCCTTTATTATGGAGATGAAGCACCTGAGATCCAGAGAAGTAAATTTACTTTCTTAAGGTCATACACATATTAGATGAGAGAGACAGTATTTGAACCCGTCTCTTGATTCCAAATCCCCACTCATTTTCTACTGTACTCCACTGAACAAACTAAAATTCAGAGGGATTAAATGTCTTACCCAATGTCTTATAGTTTGTCGGAGAGAAACGCCAAGTCAACATAGAACATTAGAAAGTTAAAGGACTTATGTTCATATCTTTCTTCTGATATTTTTTTGCTTGTGTAACCTTGGTTAAATTCCTTACCCATCTCTAGGATTCTATTTCTTCATTTGTAAAAAGAAGGAATTGGATCCAATCACTTCTAAAGGCCCTTAGAACTTTAATTCTTTATTCATATGACCTGTGATGTTATGACCAGTGTTTTTCATTACCTCTCCTGGAGGGCAAGTCTACAACAAAAATCTGGAGCAGGAAGCAGCAATGAGACTCAGAAAAAAAAAAAGTATATAGAACAAAGGAGGAAATAACAAAGAATGAAAAAAGAAAAAGAAAAAAAAGAAAAAACCACAGAAAATTTGAAAATTAAAACAAAGCAGAAAAATAAGTGGCAAAGTACAAATTAGAGGAATGGAAAACTGCACTTTCATTTCAATTTTGTATGATAGTCAAATCTGAAGAACAACTTTCAAGAATGAGTTTTTAGAAAAATTAAATATTAGTATTGGCAATCACTTTGGCTTTTCAAAAACTCATCAGGGAAAATGAGAGGATAGCCACTCACATTCATCTTATGCTTTACCAAAAAGAAAATTCACAAAAAAAACCCCAACTACAAAAAACTTGACACCTATAACCCAAATGCTTTAAAGTCTTAAATTCTTCCTTCTAAGTTTTATTCTGAGGAGTTTATGAAGCATGTAACATGTGTCACCTAAGAACTTGCTATCAAAATAAAGGTGAAGTCATTACAATAGCATTGAAATAAGTATAAACAATTTTCTATACCTACATACTACAAAGAATAACTACTGGAAGCCTTGAGACCTCTTATCTCAGAGAAGCAAGTCAAAGCAATGGGACTTCAAGTTTGGGCAAACATTTGAATTTCATTTCTGTTGTTTTTCAAGGTATGCTTTAATTACAATGCCTAATGACTAAATCAGTTTTGCAACTTACACAACCAAGATTGCTACCTGTATCTCTTAAAGTCTAGTCCTTTTAGAATGTGCTCCTGCCTGTCCTCTTTTGTTCCTTATGCAATCACAGTGGTGATGCACTGCCTTTTGGGGCTCTCTCAGGAACTAGAAATTGCTTTAAAAAAATTGAATAACCACCTTTGACATGGGCATATCTCAATCTGCATAATAATTGTGATCCTGGGAAGTTTCATGTAGACTTAATTTGCAAATATTAAGGATTATGCATTAGCTTGCAACTTAACATTTGGGATATACTTTATGTCAATTTCTGATTAGTCTTCCATTGAAAATTGTTTTTAATACTTCATTTGCAAGTTTCTAATTACCATCTCCTTCTCTAGCAGGTATTGGTTTATAAATAGCTACTTAAATTCTTTAGGGACCTTGGTATTTAAAGGACTACCGGAAATTCTTTAAAGCTAAGACTAGTCATTAATTGGTTTCACCTAATATTAATTAATCTGTGTTGTGCATTTGTATTTTTTGTCATTGGGTTTTCTTGAGCAGTGAAGCACACCTGTCATCAAAGAGAGCCTCTAAGCTGACAACTCACTGTATGTTATGAATTGTTACAGAATGTTATGTGATTTCTAGCCTCAGAATTCAACGCATTTACTTGGGAAGACTTATATGAACTGATGCAAAGTGAATTGAACAGAACCAGGCAAATAATTTATACAATAACAACAATATGATACAGATAATCAACTTTAAAAGATACGGTGACCAACCATAATGTTAAAGGGCTCAATGATGAAACATGTTATTTAGCTCCAGATAGAGGGCTTATGGAATCAGAGTGCAGATTGAAACATATTTCTTTTTTTCCCTTTATTTTTATTCTGGGACAAGACTATTGTGGGACTTTGTTTTGTATAATGATTTATATTTGTAACACTTTGGTTTTTCTTGCCTTCTTAATGGGTAGGGTAGAAGATGGAGGGAAGGAAAGAATTTAGAACTGAAAATAAAATAAAACTCAATTAAAAAAAGAATGGAGTTCACCCATGTAATGTTTGATATAGGGCCAGCAGTAGCTAGGAATGTCAGAGAATTTTTGCACTCATTACCAAATACGTTTTGACTATAGACTCAACTTTCAATTATTCACATTAATAAATAGAGGGAAAGGATCCTATAGAATCATAAACAGTGGCTAACATGCTCTTCTGGTTTGTGTTGTAGTTCTCAGCCTTTCCCTGAGTAATGCTATTATCTCTGGAGAGAAGTGATCTTGACCAAGTTGGGATATCAGACATCCTCCTTTATTCTTTTACTAGTGAGGGCTATATGAATGTCCCTAACATTTGTCATAGAAAGGGCTGCTGTTAAGATGTGCATTAGATGCAGTAATTTAAGTTCCACTCCCACTCTGGGATTCAGTGGCCCCATTTCCCTAGTGTCTTATCTCAGTTAGCTCTAACTGGAAGAAAGTAACATGATACACTCATGGTAAATGCTAAGACACAAGTGAAAAAGGACAGTTTAATGTATTACCCTTGTAGAGACCTTTGCAATTTGAAAGATGCCAGATAATTCAATGGAATGACTATGGTTTTAGCATTTTAGGTAGCATAAGTCGGTGGATATTTCAAGGGTTCTAGGTCATTCCCAATATAATCACATAGGGCACTCTTTATTCTGTTTTTGAATAAAAATTTCTCATACAGAGAGAGTAAAATCAATTTTTCAAAGCAAGTTGGATACATGCCTGGGAGTGGGCTATGTTCAGAGGTCAGAATGGACATTTGTGAGACAAAACAAAAACATTTCTTCTTCCCCTTTAAAAAAGTTAATACAGAGCCTGAAACTTGTGAAAGGTGCCGCAAATCATTCTTTATTGGAAAATAAGATGCCAGTGGCCCAGAAGTTAAGAATGTGAGAATTCCCAGTCTTTCTCTCCTCATCAGCTTCCTTCCCAGCCCAAACTCCACCTTTCTAGTAAAGAAAGACTGAAAAACAACACTACTTACCAACAAGCCTTTCTATTCTGCCCCTTCTCCTTTAGTACTTAATTTTATTTATCAGTTCTTTAGCCTTCTTTCCAGTTTTGATGAAATAAAATTCTCTTTAACATTCAAGATTTCATCTTCTGTGCTTGTTAGGAGTTTGATTTTTTCAGTTTCAATTTTTTTAAATCCATATTCAGTTCAGTAATCCCCCTTTTCTATTTTGTTCATTTAGATGTTGTTATTGTTGTTTGGTTTTTTCTTTTTTTTTTTTTTTAGCATATAATTACTTATGAAAGAAATCTCTATTTAATAAGACCTTCTTGGAAAATTGGAAAGCAGTCTGGCAGAAATTAAGATAGACAAACATCTTAAACTATATTCTGTGATAAATTCAAAATCAATAATCCACCTGCACATTAAAGACCAGGGGAAATTGTGGCCACAGGCCAAATCTAGTCTGTCACCTGTCTTTGTACAGCCAATGAGATAAAAGTGGATTTTACATTTGAAGATATAATAAAGCTTTATTTACAAATGTAAAAAATACTCTGCTTACAGGCCATACAACAGCAGGTTGTGGGCCAGATTTGGCCCTTGGGCCACAGTTTCTAAACCCTGTTAAAGGTCATACAATAAAAAATCAGAAGTGAAGAAAATCATGTATTTTTCATGGCTATGTAGAGAAGTTTAATTGTTAACCACACAAGAGATGGTGCCAATTAAAAATATGAAATAAAGAAATCTGGTTTTATGAAACTGAAAAAAGCTTTTGCGCAAATAAGAACATATACTTAGGAGTTATTGACTGGGGGAAAAAGTATCTCATTTCTTTGTTAAGGATTCAGTATCTTAATTGTTAGTCTTTTTGAAGAGTTTATTGACCTTCTAATTTTGTTACATAATTTTTCTCAAAAATCCTTTTGATTTTTATTAATATATGCAACAAATCCTTTGTTTGTAACATTTCAGAAATTTGGGTAGATTGACTCGTTATCATTGCTGTTCATCTAGTTCTCATTTTTTAAAAATTCAATTTGTTCTTTGACCAATAATTATTTAGGATTTCATTCTTAAATTACCACTTATGTTTTTGTATTTTTCTTGTACTATTTAATTATCTTCATACTATTTATGGTGTTGTGGTCTCTAAAGTATATGTTTAACATTTCTGCGTTTTTCCATTTATTTGCAAATTTTATGTATACCAATACATGCTGCATTTTTTTAAGAGTCATGTGTTCCTGATACATATAAATCATTCTTCAATTTAGTAAATTCTTTCCCTTATGGATGTAGAGGCTAGGTTGCTTAGAGAATATAATTTAAATAGTGATGTTGGTTTGTAGTTTATGGTTCCTTTAAGCATAATGTAATTTCTTCAGTTATCTCCATATGTTCCTCCATTTGTGTCAACGATATTGCTTAACTATTTTTTTTTTAGTTCTTGTTCTTTTTTAGGCTAGTACTTTGTTGCAGGGATTGGTTTTTCTTAATCTCATTTGATAAAAGCCAATTTTCACAGGCTCTCCTACTCCACCTCACTATTCCTCCTATTTGTCAACACTTCTCCTGGTTTTAATGTTTTGCATAATTTATTGATTTCTGTTTCTTAATTTATTTAAATTATTAATTTTTTTCTTCTTTTCCTTTCTCCCCTATTATTTAAGTGATTAATTTCTTTATTTTGTCCTCTTCATAATTCTTTCCCCTTTATATATATTCTTAATTTTATTCTATGATTTTTCATCTAGAAACTTATTTATTTCTTCTTTAGTTTCTTGTGTTCCTCAACAATGAAAACTTGTAAATTTGAACTCTACCTTATAACCAATTTCTCTATTCAGAATTGCTGTGCTATTTCCTTGTGTTATTTCTTGCATTATAACACACATATATACATGTATATATATTTGACTATATTATAGTAAAGCTTAAGAAGTATAGTATACTTTTACTTAAGCATAACATGATAATAGAAAAAGTAGATCAGACATTGTCATAATTTTGAAGTTAAAGGGGACAAATAACATTTATTTGAAATCAGCCTATAGAAACAGAAAGAGAATTGAGGACCAAAGAGGTTATGTCATTTACCTGATTTTGCACATCTATTTATGACAGAAAACTCTATATTAGTCAACCTTAATTAAACCAGCTACTATGTGGAATATTGCACATAAAAATATTAATTTAAGATGCCCACTTTGGGGAAGGGGGAGGAAAGTTGCCAGTAACGTAAAATAACCTTGGAGTTAGCAACTGGAATATAGACGTTACTTTGTTCATTATACATCTTTATGGAATTCGTTGACTCCCTAAGCTTGGTAAAATGTTTTTTGCAATGATTAAAAGAAAATTTATTCTCCCAAAAAAGCATTTTATGAAAGGAATGATCTATAGAGTTTGACATTTTCAAAAATAACCCCATAATACTCAGTTTTATGAAAAGAGAAATATGCTAAATTTTAAGATGCCTAAGATCTCCAAGGCCATGAATAAGAGTTATTTCTCCCTCCCAATTTCTCTAAAATTGGTTTGTTCAGAAAGCAAAATTGGCCTTCTTTAGAGTTCAGACACAAGCGTTCTCACTTTCTGCTTTTCACTACAGCTAAAGTCAATTTCAAATTATATAATAAATTACAACTTTAGTGAGTTGGGTGAGGAAAAAAATCTTTCTTCATAGGTCCTGTGGTTTGACTCTGCAAGGCTTTTATGTAACAGTTTGGAATATCACAGGAACATTTTTAGGCTTAACATTTTGGAACCATATTTTACTTTCACTTTAGCCGTGACTCCCTAAGTGGGAAGACTGGACACCTGCTTTGGTTCTATGTTCCTATTAATGTCGATTAGTCTGCTACTAGGCATCTGTTTCAATAGCAGTAAGTGTTAAATTAATGTATTCATAATGCACAATACAGTATGCTGGTTTTCAGTTTTTCCCTCAAATATGATTATTAAAATAATTATCCTTAACTATTCCCTGCTGCTCAACATCCATATGTGCAAAACTATACATTACCTAACTATGCCCCTTAAGTGATTTGCAATAGCTCCTATAAGAACCCTGCTAATACAGTTGAGCATCAGAATTCAGACAAAGTTGTAAAAGGTCATTTTTCCTATTTAATATCTTGTTTTCAGTAAGATTCTTCACCTAAATTCCCATTATGTATAGCTATTGTTAATTCATATAATGTACTTTAAATAAGGCTACTTTAAATTATCCTTCCCAGTTTTTAAATAAGTGTATTTGTCACTGACTTAAGGTAAGGTAACAGACATGCAGTTTGAATCTACTAACCTTAGTAAATTGAATTTTCAAGTTGGTGAGTGGGGCGGGTATGGTCCCCTCTGCTGGATTTGCTGAGGTCTTTTCCTTAGAAGACATTTCTGGGCTGGTTCTAGAGACACGAGTAAAGTCAAACAGCAGACAGTCTCAGTAATTTTGTGCTGACTGAACCAGTGGCTTTTCATTTGCTTCTTTTAATCTGAACTGACTGAGGGTGATTGCATACTGGATTGTGATTGGATGAACCAATTCAGAGCAATAAAGAAAATGAAAGCACTTTTTTCTTTGCAAGAGAAGATCCAGACTTTAAACTTAAATCTTTAAGAAACTATTTTGTCAAAACTGTAGCTAGTCTGTAACTTATATGCAAAAAAATTCATAATTTAAAAAATCAAAATATTTGACAAGAGCAGTGAGTGCTTTAATTATTGTGGTTGAGATCACTCCCCTCCCCCAACTCATTCTCTCAACCCCTTTGCTGTGTGAACTAATTTCTCTGACAGATATTAGTAAAGGGAACAAGGCAGTAGTCTTTGGGTACTCCCATTTCTGTGAGATATGAGGGGTAAGAGATCTGTGCTTTTTTTTTTTCTAATTGAAGGACTGCTTAATAGCACACTCTACATGTTACCTCTTCTAAGTCTTACAACTCTGATGTATGTGCTACTGCTACCCCTAGATTAAAGATGAGAAAATGAAAGTTCAGTGATTTGCCTGAAGTCACACAGAGAGCAAGCTTCCAAAGTGTTAAACCCTAGGGCTTCTTCATTCTTAATGTAAAGGGGATATCATCACCTCTGCTGAGTTAGTTCCTTTGAGTAAGGGACAGAATTGGACAGCTTATGACTTTTTCCAATCTTTCTAATCATGACTGAGCATTTTGGAGGAAGATAAGAGTAAGTTTATTGTGGCCACAAATGATAACAAGGTAAATTATTAGTTTTAATAGCTTAAGCTGAACTAAATTTTTTGGGGCACCTTGTATATGGATTACAGAGATAACCAATAGAGGGAAACCAGTAGTATGAAGCAATGATCAAAAGTTTCTTCTAGTACAAGGGATTTTAGTTGGTACTTGGAAACCAGGGAAGCCAAGGAGCAGAGATGAATAGGGAGAGAATCACAAAAGTGAAGGACAGCCAGTTAAAATTCATGGAGTTGGAGGATGCAATTGTCCTATGTGAGCAATAGCATGCAGGACAGTATTACTGGATCTCAGAATATTTGTGGGGGATTAAGGTATAAGGAGATGGGCAAGGTAGTCAATCAAGTAGTATTTATCAAGTCCCTACTATGTGCCAAGAACTGTGCTAAGTGCTAGAGTCATGAAGGGCTTTTAGCATCAGAGGATGTTCTCTTTGATCTTGGAGAAGACAAGGAAGCACTGGAAGTTATTGAATGGGGAGGTGACAGTGTCAGACTGGATCTTTAGGAAGGTCAATTTGACATCTGAATAGAGGTCAGATTTAATAGGGAGAAACTTGGGTCATGGAGATGAACCACAAAGCTATTGCAGTAATCCAGGCATGAGGTATGTAGGGTCATGTTGGCTTCACTCTTTCTTCCTGAGTCATTGTAATCCAGTGGCAAGATAAAAGTCAAGACCACTGACAATGGCTTGGGCTACAATGGACAACCTTGGTATCTTTGATGTCTAATCAAGCTTTAAGTGTTCTGCAGTGCCAGCTTCTGCCTCCATCATGGCCCATTAGAACAAATTATTCACATGTGCCTATTCTACCAACTAAGTCTTCACACGCTTGGTGTAGACATAGCTATGTCTTCCCTTAATACCCCAAATATCCAGGAATAACTCTGCCTTGCTTAAGTAAAATTTATGTGTGAGTCAAAAGATGTCACTCATAACTTTTCATCATTTTTACCTACCTTGAAGTCCAGTGGCATTGGGCAAGTGATAAACCATCAGGTGAAGATATACTGGGAGTTGTAGTCACAACCCTCCACACAGGTAGCCCAGGGCATTGGGTTATCTTCTCATTGGATTGAAATAGCAGTGGGATTCAGCACCCCTACCAGGCATCTGAGCAACCCTTTTTTTTTTTTTAAGGATTTCACTGCTCACCTCCTGGCATGAGGAAGGGACTAGAAAAGGTGCCCTAAAAATTGTTTGCTTCACCTAACCTAATCTGATATGCTTACCACAGCAGTCAGGGATCCTACTCTGCAGTCAAATCATGCAAAAAAAAAAGCGTACAAAAAATTTTGTGAAGATGATTCCATTCATCACTTGCACATGGAATGTGCTGAAAAGGGACAAGCTTATAATTCTCAGTAACTTTCATGCCACAATAGACACAGACTATAGAAATTGCAGGGAGTTCTTGGGAAGAGTGGAATCAGAAACAATAATAGCAATGGTCACTTACTACTGAAGACATGTATCTCATGACCTTCTCATTACCAACACTGTCTTCCATTTACCTAAATGCAAAAAAAAATTCATGAATTCATCCTTGCAGTAAATATTGACATTTAGTAGACTGTCATTGTAAGGAAAATTTCAGAGAGTATATGAGAGTGATGAAGGTCATATATGGTACAGAGTGCTGGACCGATCATAGACATAGTCTTCAAGCTAAATATTTACATTCAACAACAGCAGCAGACCCAAAGCAAGATGACTATCAGTAGGTTTAATGTCAACAGATTAGAGTGCTTTTCCTCCCTGAACAATTTATTGCTGACTTGAAGGGAAAACTGAGCCAACACATGGTTAGCAATAGTAAAGCAGAAAAGGAGTGCACAGCTTTCAGAAATTTGGTATATATATCACTGCATTTACTCATCTGGGCCAGAACACTCACAAACATCAGGATTAGTTTCAGGAAAATTGTAGGAGAATTCAGAAGTTACTAAATAAAAATGAGATCTCCACAGAGTTCACTAATAGCAGAATTCATATGTCTCTAAGAAGACAGACATTAACTGTCAAAAATAAAGTGCAAGCAAAACTTAGAAAAGTGTAGGTTTCTTGACTCAGTAAGAAGGCAGGTGAAATTCAGTTTTACACTGATAGTAATAACCCCACATACTTTTATGATGCCCTGAAGGCTATTTATAGGTTAAAGACCGATGGTGCATCCCAACTACTCAGTACTGATGAGCCATGCTGATTAGTAACAAGGTCATGATCTTTGACAGATGGGCTGATCACTTCCATGATATTCTCAAAAGACCATCATCAACCAATGCTGAAGTCATTGACCATATATCTCAGGTTGAAGTCAGCCCCTCTCTAGTCAAACTTCCAACTGAAGATGAAGCTTTGAATGCCATTAGACTCCTTTCCTGGTATTGATTCTATTTCAGCTGAGATTTTCAAGTCAGGGGTCCACTGCTCATACAAAAGCTAACTGAAATCTTTTAAGTTATATGGCAAGAGGAGATTATCCCTCAGGAGTTCAAGGATGCCTCCATTGTCCATCTCTACAAAGGAAAAGGAAATAGGTTGTTCTGTGACAACCACACTGTGGGCCTCTCTCTTAGTCACTGCTGACAAGATTCTTGCCAGAGTCCTCCTTAATAGGTTAGTCCTTCATCTGGAAAATGGCTTCAGAAAGGGCCAAGGAATCGTTGATATATTTGCTGCCAAACAACTCCAGGAGAAATGTCAGGAGCAGAACAGTGGTCTGTACACAATGTTCATTGAATGAGGGGAGAAACAGCATTACAGAAAATCTAATCTGTGTCAAGAAGGGAGGGAGGTCCATTTTCACACTGTATCTCTTCTTTGGAGCCAAGCTTGCTAAGTATAATGACACATTGTTCAGCTTTTATTATTATTGTTATAATTGTTTCCATTCATGTTGGTTTATCATCTTGTATATTCTCTTTCTGGCTTTGCTTCTATTACCTTGCATCACTCCATGCTTTTCTATTAATCATGTACATAATTTCTTATAGTATAGTAATATTTCATTATATTCATGGGCCATAATTTATTAAGCCATTCCCCAATCACTAGGCCTATGTTTTATCTCCAGTACTCTGTCATAACAAAAAATTTTGGTATAAATATTTTTTGTTTCTACTGGATCTTTCTATCTTTGTCCTCCATGTATGCTATCTTCTGAGAAATGAGTCCTCTGGGTGAAAGGACATGGACATTATATTAGTTTCATAACATAAATACAAATTGCATTGAAGAATTGTTGGACCAATTTACAACTACATCAGCAATTCATTACTATGCCTTTTTTTCAATAATGCTTGCGAGAGTGACTATTCTCATTTTATTTTTATCATCTTTACCAGTTTTCTATGAGTCACATGAAACCTCAGAGTAGTTTTATTTTGTATTTCTTATTAGTAATTTATAGCCATCTCTCACAGGGTTATTTTAAGTTAATAGTGTTAATGCTAATCTAAATAAAAGAGACAAAATTAAAGGAAGTTGTGTGATTCAGTGGAAAGAACTCTGAATTTAGAGAGAGAGCACCTGAATTAATTAAAATTTTATAATTTTATAATTTATTATCTGTGAGGAGCCCTTGGACAACTCATTTAAACTCTTTGAGATTCTGTTTCACCATCTGTATAATGGAGTGGTTAGGCTATAGGACCTGAAAGGTCCCTTCCAACAATAAATCTCTTAACTTAACATCTTATTTATTACAATATGGGCGGTGGGAAGAAGAAATATAGGTGGATTTGGAACATCATAAGACATTCTTTTAGAATTTTTCTTTGAAATTGAAAATTAAAGCATCTGGAAAGTGCTAAATTCTGACTACTAGAATTAATCATAATTGCAAAATTTGGCATCATATGACCAAAACCATGTGTACAGGCTTAATAGCAGTAAATGTAAAAGAGCGAGTTTCTGTGTTATCATTCTATGTCTTATTCATACAATGAGATCTTCATTTTTAAACATTTAAAGTGTTCTGGCTTTTGTCAGTTCTCTTGTTCTATTTCCAGCCCTTTTTGTTTTATTTCTTGGGGGCAAAATTCTGGTTGAATCTCATAACAAAATTGTATTGTCCCACTAACAAATCACGGATAGGACATGGTCTGGTCTGTATGTGGTAAGGGGGGATGGGGAAATCCTGAAATTAAAAATTCTGCCATTGAACTTTTTTTCTTCCCAGTTTGTACAGTATTATTATTATTAAAAATGTTTATTGAGGCTTATTCCCT